ACTGTCAAGTGAGTTGAAAGTATATTTGTGGGTGAAACACAGCAGTCAATTGCGCACAGCAATGTCCCACAAACAATCGTGGATTGAAGTGACCAATTTATTGTAATTTTTTTCTCTTGACGAATTATTATCAGATGTGTGGAGTAAGGAAACTTGCCCAAGGTTTCGCCCTGCCACGAATCAAACCCAGATCTCTCGCTTGCGAGGTGAGTGCTCTAACCACTGAGCTACAGGACTCCACGATAGGTTTATATAATTTGAAAACAGAGTTACATAACTCTACAACAACAACAACAAGATTGCACTTATAGAGCGCCTTTCACGTCGGCAGGACTTGATTGTTTTATTCTAAGGCAAACTCTAAGGCTTGATTGCTAAAGGAACATATTTAATAAAAATCAAGATCTAATAAATTGGTGGAACAGGATGGGTGGGCTAAATGGTGTTCTATCCCTGTTTTCCTATGTTTCTTTGTTCTTTCGAGCCCTCTGAGATGCTAACCCACATGAAGGGTGCTATATAAATTCAAGTTGTTGTTGTATTACTTATGTGCAATCAATCCAACCATGTGATAACTTTGACTGCAATGTTGTAGAATAACATCTGGTTGTGCTAACTTAAGGGGCCCTTTTTAATCAGGCACAATGCCTGACCCTTTGGTAGTCTCTGCCTCAATTCCTCCTCCTTGCCCCCTCTTTGTCCGTCTGAAGACTTTCCTCTTCTACCATGCTCATGGTCACCTCCCCTTTCTGGTATCAAACTACGCTATTGTTAAGCGCTCTGAGATGCTAATCTGCATGAAAGGCGGTTGTTATTGTTAAATGCAAGTTGTTATTGTTGCAGACAATACTGTCAGACATCAGATCCTGGGATGAAAGCTAACATTTACAGCTGAACATCAAGACCAAAGCCCTCCTGATTGGCTCCGGTCAGTGCCTCCACACCTCAGGCACTGACAGCATCACCATCCAAGGATGCACACTCCACCTCACTGAGCCAGTCCAGAACCTTGGCGTCTTGTTTGACCCCCAACTGTCCTTCCTACCCCACACAGTGCCATGACCTGCTCTGCTTCCCCCACCTCCGCAACATCACCCAGCTCCGCCACTGTCTCACACTGCAGGCCACCAAGACCCTCATACATGCATTCATAACATCCAGGATTGACTACGCAAAATCTTTGCTTGTCGGCCTCCCCAATTCCTTTCTCCATGGGTTGCAGATCATCCAGAACTCTGCAGCCCATGTCCTCTCCCACACCAGGCTCTGCGACTCGATCACCCCCATCCTCGCCCGACTCCTCTGGTTTCCCATCACACAGAGAATACAGTTCAAGATCCTGGTACTCACTTTCAAAACCCTCCATGGTCTTGCTCTCCCCTATCTCTGAAATCTAACCCCTACCCACCTACCTGCTCCCTCCGCTCAGAAGGCTCCAGCCTGCTTTATGTTCCCCACCTTGCCTGTCCCACCATTGGCGGGCGGGCCTTCAGCTACTCTACCCCCACCCTCTGGAACTCCATCCACAGTCCCTCTACCTCGCCACCTCCCTTGCCTCCTTCAAGACCAGTCTCAAGACCCTCCTCTTTGACCGTGTCTTCGGTCACCCTCCTTCACCCCCTGCTCTCCACACTCCTCAATCCCGACCCCCAGCTCAGGTCCAAAACACTGATTGTCCAGCGCGTTGGGATGTCCTCCTAATACAAATGTAATTTTGTTGTTGTTGTTGCTTCCTACACCTCTCAAGTGCTGTAACATTATATCCATTCCTCGTCTTTAGTTTCTCCCACATCCTATATCATTCCTTGGGAAAAAAATGGCAATGCTTGGAGTAGAAAAAGAGAGAGAGATAACAGTAGAAGAGATGGTCAGGAGAAAGTTTCTTTCATTAAAATAAAACAATAATAACAACCTTGGATTTGATATAGCGCATTAATCTGGATATCAATTCTGGAATTTATAAATTGCTGAGCACTGTTTGTACTGGCTGAAGGAAAGGCATCTCTTGGTAAAGGCTAATAACTCAGTGGAAAAGATGTCCTGAAACTGCCGAGAGGCATGTACAGAAACAATGTCATTATTTGCAGATAGATAAATGGAGACCTACTCCATAAAGAATGTTTGAGAGCATTACAGAAATAGTTTAGCATAGGGTATGTTTACAGAAGGTGCTTATATGACTTTTGTGTGAGTAACGGAGCCTTAAACAATACCATGTGCTCCACTGAGATGTTTACTGCCAGTAAGGGCTGCTCACAATCCTATTCTACATCATGTCTATTTGACTCTGTAGAACACAGAGCAGGTGTCCACATGAAATCCTGTTTGGCCAGCTCCCAGGAGGTAGTCAGAAATAGCTTTGATTGTCTGACCCACAGAGTCTCTCAGGCCTTATAAAGAAATGTACGATAGCAAAGCTGAAATCATGTGCTTTGCAGGGAATTATGAATTTACATAACCTTTCATGTAATCTGTATATTTTCCTCCGTAATTCTATGTGATTGTTCATCTGCTACTGCAAGGAAACATGCCATTTGGCCAAGCTAGTGAGTGCTTGTGTTTATACTCCACATAAACTCCCTACCCCTCCTTATCCCTGCTCCCATACATCTCTATTTCCTACTCCCTTGTGCCCCACCTGTGGTACAATACACTGGAATGCCACCGCACTGTATCGTGTCATCCTGAACTGTCATGACCAGATCTAGAATGCTGCCACCCCTGACTTGCCCTGGAGACGGATCAGTGAAATATCCACTGTGGTGAGACTTGTGTGAAAAAAAACCTTGAATTAATTCAGGATTCAGAATGATTGGCAAAAGCACACATTACATTATTGCAGCAAAAATAAGATAACTGTATGTTCACTGAATCACTTTCCTAACAGGACCAAACACTTCCAATATGTCCAGTCAGTTAGATCCTAATTCCTGGAAAAATTGTGGAGTCCTGTAGCTCAGTGGTTAGAGCACTCGTTTTGCAAGCGAGAGACCTGAGTTCAATTCCAGGCAGGGCGAAACCTTGGGCAAGTTTCCTTACTCCACACGTCTAATAATAATCCCTCCAAAAAACAAAAACAATAATTAAATTGGTCATTTTCAATCTATGACTGTTTGTGGGACATTGCTGTGCGCAATTGGCTGCCGCGTTCGCCCACAAATATACAGTCAATTCACTTTACAGTATATTCTGTGAAGCGCTTTGGGACGTCCTCCCGACGTGAAAAGCGCTATATCAAATGCAAGGATTATTATTATTATTATTATTAAGTGATGTGAAATGCTTGCCTAATTTCCTCTTGTAGCTTATGGGTTGCAAGAGTGGGTGAGGAAGTAATGATGTGTACAATTGACCGGAACAGTTGTTTTTCGAGGAGTAAATGTCAAAGGCAGGAAAGACGCTGACAGGAAACATTGTGAATACTGTTGTCAGGTTTGTCCCCAATGGAAAAACTGCCCCGTATTTCTCGTTTGGTTTCATGTACCAACACGAATAGGACTTCTGTCACTGAGCCAAGAAGCTACACTGCATACACGGCTGGAGCTTTTAGCTTCCATGATGCAACTATAAGCTCCTGCAACCTTTGCATTTAGAAACATCTTTTGAAACTGATCACAGAGAGACTGCAGGATGGAATCCCAAAAGGGCAGGGTAGAATCAATGAAAGTTTGCCCACCATTGGTGGGTCAGGTTGGACGGGGACATGAGGCAGTCTGCGTTTGCTGATTGTTGTTGTTATTGTTGCTATTAGCAGTCTCTCGCCTTCTCTGCCAAGGATCAAGGTTCATTTCGTGAGATGAAAAGGGAGGAATGAAATGAAACAACAAACAGACAAAGACAACAAATCACATTTGTATAGCGCCTTTCAAGTTGGGATGACGTCCCAATGCTCTTGCCCTGGGATGTCCTAAAACAAAGATGATAAACGAAAAACAGGCAAATAAAAGTTTTAACTTGCAGAGGAAAAATGACAGAATGTTGAAATGCAGCTGAATAATAGATTAAGTTAACTTTCTTGACAATGATTGCTCACCAGAAGACAAGTAAGTTCCAACGTATTGGAATAGGTGTACCTTAGTTTACTGAAATAAAATTGTTTTCTCATGCAATAAGGTTGGAGCCCAACCAACAGAAAGAGGAGCTAATCGTTTGCGCCCCTTGAATGTCACGTGTAAACCATGCACAGTGACTCCACTTTAAGTAAAATCCTGTGAAGCACTTTGAGACAACATTGTCATTAATTCATTATGAAATGATTAAATATTAAACAGCTGACGATTTCACTAGACAGTGAAATGTGTTTGTTCTGCAAATTTGTCCTACAAAATTCAGAGGAATGCACAACATTAGTTTAAGAGTTTACGCAAAACTACGCTTTATAGATTCCGGGTTTCACAATCAGCAAAATCATGAGGTGCGTACTTGCAGATGACTTTGCGAAACTAGTTTTCATTAAAGATCTGTTGCATTTAACTGAAGTCTGCAAGTCATACATTGTTTTATTTTGGCTGAGTTATATTGTGGGGCTGACGTGGAGGATGTTGTGGGTGTTCTACTGTCAATTCACCGTGGGGGAGGGGGTGGGGGGTGGGGGGGGGGGGGGGGTGGAAATGATGTCAAGTTTGTGGTTGAAAGTTAGGCAAATACTAGCCTAAGAGTAGTCCAATATGATGGGTCGTCTAACTGTGGCTAATTTAAGTTGGTGCATTGGAATCTGTGTGTGTGTGTAAAAAAAAGAAAGGTCTTCAAAAGGATGGGTTGGGTGGGAGACAGAGAGAGAGAGAGAGAAATACGTTTTTGCAGGTTTATATTGAAAAAATATGTTAAAAAAAATTGGCACCCGTTCAAACCCATGTTTCCACCACGCAGTGCAACAAATACACCCCTAATTGGGCGTTATTCAACGCAATCTGCCAACCATCAACCCAAGGCTCCGTCCTTCCCCTTTGCTCACACAGCAGAGAAGCAACACAGCACAACTGACTTACAGACAGACAGACAGACAGACAGTGACTGACTGACCGACTGTCCCAGCTGGAGGACAGCAGCACAGCATCCATCACAACAAGGTATTTAGTAGCAAGCCCTGGAAGAGCAGCAGAAAGTGAAGGGGAAAGCAGTCATTTAGCTCTTTACATTTTTGAGCGACCCATACAAGGAATCAGATTTTTCCTGTCTGGCAGGAGGTTCATTTGTCGTTCGAATTATCATTTGTCACTTTCCCAACTCAGCTGGAAAAGTCGGTGCCAAGTGTATACAACTGACCAATGCAGATCAGGGGTGGGGGGGCTGGGGGTCAGAGCTGAGCTCAGGGGAGAACTAGCACTTGGGTGGTAATAGCTGAACTTCAGATCCCCCCCTCCCCCACCCCTTCCCCTCAATTTAGGGTGAAAAATAAATCAACTCAGTTGTTTAGGTCACTATCCTGTGACTTCAGCCAAAGAGAAAATGTGCAGCTGTCAGATGAGATCCCACACTTGCTGTAACTTACTGACTGACTCCCACTGTCTAGACTCATAGCTGAAGAGTGGTCAGATAAGTGAGGTACAGACTGGATTTCTGAGTCTAAAACCAAAGATGATAAGGGTTTTAAGGGATAAGTATTGTGTGTTGTCATCGACTGGTTAATTGGATTCTTGTTTGAAGCAAAGAGAAATAGAATTGAATGGTGAAAATGCTCTCATCCAGCAGTCAATTACTGAGTGGCTGTCATTTCTATTCTTAGCAGTGAGATAAAAATCAAAGAATACTAATTCTGGGCAAGGTTTCCTGAAGAAAAATGATTTCCTGGACACGGTTCCATTTGAAATTGACTTTCAAGTGGAGAAAGGCATTCTTGGGATCATTTCTACTCCTGGTGCTTTCTACCAAGTTGGTGTCCTCGACCGATGAAGGAAGAAAAGCTTTGCAAATAATGGAGCAAGCACCTTTGATTGATGGGTATGCTTTCCATTTTATTCCATTTTAGACCATTCGCTGTTTTAAAATAAGAGAGAGCAAAATAAGAAAGATTTTCGTATTCCTTACTCAGATAAATTGTGTGAGATGTTGGAGTCCTGTAGTGTAGTGATTAGAGCACTCGCCTCGCAAGCGAGAAGACCCAGGTTCGATTCCTGAGCGGGGTGAAACATTAGGCAAATTTCCGTACTCCAAACATCTCTATTTACCTAGCAGTAAGTAGGAACCTGGTTGTTTCTATGATAAAAATCTATCGACACCAAATTGTGGAACATCGCAGAACACAAGGATCAATGTTTACTGATTTGTATTGAATCTATTGAGCTACAGTTTCTAAATAAGGTGTGCTGTTTACTTGAAAATCACCTAATTGAACGCCTCTTTATTTGCAGAACCCCTGAATATGTAAAACTAAGCACCAGATGAATAATAATAGAAAACTCTTGATTACTGCATGTAGCTTTAATGTACAGCTAATTTCAATTTGTTTTTACAACTGCATTGCACAATCCTGTTTTGTGTCAGAAAGGAAGTTGGCAATCCAAAACAAATGAGGGGTGTGAGTGTGTGGAATTCTTGCATAAGATTAATTTTAACTTCAGTTTAGAAATGAACTTCTTGCAACTGAACATTTCTCATGAATAATCCACACAAATATAATTTGAAGTGAACCAAATACTGTAGTGAAGGCAAAACTACTGAGGCAGTGCAGGTTCCTTCAATGAGCCACATGAGATAAGATTTTGGTCAGGCTTTTCTAAGGAGAGGATTGTACTGTTGTTTGCTGGCCTTGGGCTATTAACCGATTTAAAACGTCTAGATTTAGGAATATTTAGTTCTATGAGCAAAAGTCTAAGTATTATATCTTGCAATTTAAGATCAACGGCAGCACTCAAGAGTATGTTTTATGGTTAACAGACTTAATTCATACCAATTTAATGTAAGAGCAGCAGGATTTGAAATAAATTCAACGTTTTTCACTGTTCTTTTAGCCACAATGATTTGCCTCTGCAGCTGAGAAGATTGTACAAAGGCGTGAATAAGGCCAATTTGTATAATATGACAGGAACATGCACAAATATTGAAAAACTGAAGAAAGGAAAAGTGGGAGCCCAGGTATAGCGTTTGTTTTCTCAAAGTTTCTCTTAGCAAAAATTCTTGTATTTCATATAGTGCATTAGCACATCCAGGTCTCTCAAAGCGCTTCGCAGATTGTTTTCTGTAAATGGCTGTGTAATTGTTTGGGCAAATGTGGCAACGATGTCCCACAAACAGCCACAAAGTGAATGATCAGTTTTTACCCTGAAATTGGTGGTGGGGGAGGGGGGGAGAAATTTCCTCCTTTTACAATATTCTAAAATGGAATTAATTTCACCTTTTAATGTGGGAAGATATTGTCATATTGCTACTAGTCATAATAACCTTCGTAGTCCAAGACTGTGAGGGATAATAAAATTCCAATCACACAATCACAACCGCTACACTAGACATCATATGGGACATTTCGCCCCTATCCTGAATTCACTTGGTACATATTCGAATGTCTGCTTTTCTTTACAGTTCTGGTCTGTATACGTAATGTGTGTGTCTCAAAACAAGGATGCTGTACGTTTGACACTGGAACAGATAGATATCATCAAGCGCATGTGCAAAGCGTATCCAGACTTTGAGTTTGTCACATCATCAGATGGTACCAGTTCACAGTACATAACTCAATCTTGTTTGTCACTTTTGTGTTTCTGATTGTAACAAAAACAATCTGGATAAGAATTCTTATTCCTCACATTTTGTTTATTTAGGCATTAAAACAACTCAAAAGATAGCCTGTCTTATTGGTATTGAAGGTGGATTCTCTATTGACAGCAGTTTGGCAGCGCTAAGGATGTTTTATGAACTTGGAGTGCGCTATATGTCCTTGACACACAACTGCAACACTCCATGGTAAGGACTGTTCTCTGTGAAATACATTGTCAAGATATTTTTTTTCCCGTGGGGGAGGTAGTAGAGGAGGAGCTGAATTTTATGCCTTTTATATGATATAGCACTGATAATGGCAAACTCAAGCTACCTGTAATACCTGTAAAGTGTAGAAACTGTCTAATTGTAGGAATCACAGTAATGGCCCACAAATAGTGACAAAGTAAGTGACCTATCCATCTGGAGGGTTTTTGGTTAGGACACTGGATAAACCAGCATCTCTTTATGAATCTTTAATGTCCACACGAACAAGCAATCAGGACCTCGCTTCAATGTCTTATTTAAAGTATGATAACACCAACCAGGTGGGGCTCTTTAAACACCTCAATGGACTGAGTATCAACATGGAATATCAGCTTCAAGTCATAACACAGGGCTTGAGCAGTTCCCTAAAGTGTTGTCAACTATGAGTCATACATACACTTTATCGCAATCTAACCTACTCAATCATCAGTAATCTTTACAAAATTATTTCTGTTCCAAGCCTTGCAATCCTAGGAAAGACATTTGCCAAAAAAAAAACGACCCGTTACAGTACATCCTATGAAGTGTTTTGAGACATCCTCTTAATAAGACACTATAATCAAATGAAGATTATTATTATCTAAAATAATCATGTCACTGTCAGCTCCCTTTGTATCTCTTTGTGTTCAAGCCTGAGGTGCTGCTGCAGGAATGAGATGGATTTGGTTAACAGAGAACCGGGGACAAATTGTGAGACTTTGTAGTAAACTATGATCATTTTGTCGTAAAATATCTCAACTTTTCACTCAATCTGAAAGGATCCTTTCACTTGTTCTTTATGCTGTAAAGGCAGCACTCGTGTGCAGTGATAGGATGAGGATGTGGTCACAAACGAGCAAGTCATTAAGTAGCAATCATTGCTTGTACAATTATTTGTGATTATCCTGATTTTCTGTTATGTGCTGATTGATCTGAAATAATGATCCACATTATTTACCATTCCAGGGCTAAGAGTGCTGTGAGGGAGCCCAATAATGAATACCCATTAATTACTAATTTAACGGATTTTGGCAAGGTAAGATTTTATTTTTGAAACTTATCCTCTTTGGGATTAACATCCTACGTCCAGGGCTCTGGCAAGGCAGCTGTGTAACAGCAACGCTTACACTCGTGCAAACGTTAATGTGTAACATTGGGCGAGTGCTAAGTAAAAAGTATCTAACTATCTGTCTCACTGTAAAAGATTTTGTGTTCAGCAGCAAAGCAGGTGTGGTTTTCTGCCTCACTCTCCATGCTGATTAGAATAAAGGCCAGGTACAACATATCCTCTAACACTATGCGGGTGGAATTTGTTCCATGATGTTATTTACATGCTTGAACAAAAACAGAGAGAGCTGGGAAAACTCAGCAGGTCTGGCAGCGTGTATGGATAAAGAAAAGTGATTCAACATTTTGGGTCCACGACCCTTCGTCAGAACTCAACATTCAACTCAACACCCTGCCTTCATCTCCCCTCTCGACTCTCTACGCACTCCTCGCTCCCTCCCTTCCCTCCCCTCCCCTCCTCGCTCCCTCCCTTTCCTCCCCTCACCCTGACCATTTCCCCCCTGCTCGGGTCCTGACCCAATTGTCCAGCGCCTTGGGACGTCCTCCCGACGTGAAAGGCGCTCTATAAATGCAATCTTGTTGTTGTGGACCCAAAACGTTGACTCACTTTCCTTTCTCCATAGATGCTGCCTGACCTACTGCGTTTTCCCAGCTCTCTCTGTTTTTGTTTCAGATTTCCAGCAACTGCAGTATTTTGTGTTTTATTTACATGCTCGTCTGATTATAATACTTACATCTATCCTTTTTTCTAACTTCCTAAAACACATTGTTTTATTTTCCAAACTGCTCTTGTTTGGGCTCCTGACCAGTTAGCGACAGTATATTTTTACGCTGATGAGGGGCTGGCAGATTTCTTGCTGATATTTACACAAATAGGCAACGTGTCCCTTTCTCACTGGAGCTGGTTATTGAGAGATGACTCTCATCACTATTTCTGGCTGCAGATTTTCATTCTGTTGGTACACCACAAACTAATTTTTACTAGATTAGGGGACGACTAGAACATGTTTTATCACTGATTTAAAATGGTTGCCAAAAAAAAGAGGGCAGATGCGGAGAATTTTTTTCACGCAGCAAATTGTTCGGATCTGGAATGCATTGCCTGAAAGGGTGGTGGAAACCGATTCTATAACAACTTTCAAGCGAGAAATCGATAGATATTTGGGGAGGACAAATTTGCAGAGCTGTAGGGAGAGAACGGGGGAGTGTGTTGAATTTGGACAGCTCTTTCAAAGAGCCAACATGGACACGATGGGCCAAAAGCCTCCTTCTGTGCTGTATAATTCTATGAAATGAAGTCAATGAGATTTAAGACAGAATTGGATGAGTATTTGAAGATAAACTATATAAAAGTGCAGGGAAAAAGAAAGGGTTTATGGACTAATGTATGTAGCTCTTGGTGACATCATCTGCAGACATGGAGTCAACTTCCATATGTATGTGGATGACACCCAACTCTTATCTTTCTGCCTCCACCCTCAACTCCAGGACCACTGTTGTCCTGACAGACTGCCTGTCAGCCATCAAGTCCTGGGCAAACTTCCTACAGTTGAATGTGAACAAGATTGAGGCCCTCCTGATCGGCTCACGCCAGCACCTCTGCACCTCAGGCTCTGGCAGCATCAACCTCCATAGTTGCACACAACTCACCAAGCTGGTCAGGAACCTAGGTGTCTTGTTCGACCATCAACTGTCTTTTCTTTCCCACATCCAAGCCATGACCCGCTCTGCCTTCCCTCATCTCCGTAACATCGCCCGACTCCGCCACTACCTCACCCCTCAGGCCGCTGAAACTCTTGTTCATGCCTTCATCACCTCCAGGCTCGACTATGCAAACGCTCTGCTTGTCGGTCTTCTGAACTCCTCCCTCCACAGGCTGCAGATAATCCAGAACTCTGCAGCCCGTGTCCTCTCCCGCACCAAACTCCGTGACCCTATCTCCCCCATTCTCGCCCGACTCCATTGGCTCCCTATCCTTCAGAGGATCCAGTTCAAAATCCTGGTCCTCACCTACAAAGCCCTCCATGGCCTCGCCCCACCCTACCTCTGTGACCTCCTAACTCCCTCCACTCAGCCGGCTCCGGCCTGCTCCACGTCCCCTGACCCACCCACTCCACCATTGGCGGGAGAGCCTTTAGCCACTCTCCCCCAATCTCTGGAACTCCATGTCCCACCTTAAAACCCTGCTCTTCAACCATGCCATTGGTCACCCCCTTCCCTTCCCCTCCCCTCCCTTCTCCCACCCCCTTGACCCCAGCTCGGGTCTGAAATGCTATGTACTGTCCAGTACCTTGGGACTCCTCCCGACGTGAAAGGTGCTATACAAATGTAATCTTGTTGTAGCTCCAACAGAGGGTGTAGCAGCAGCAATGGCTCAATGTGTTGAAAACAAAGAGCTTCCTTTTGTGCCTCAATTTCTATCAATTTATTTTCACTTACAGGAAATAGTGCAGGAGATGAACCGACTTGGAATGATGATAGATCTATCACATGCTTCTTTGGAGACGGCAGAAACTGTACTTTCCATTTCCAAGGCACCAGTGATATTCAGCCATTCCTCTGCCTCTGCCATCTGCAACCACCCGAGGAATGTTCCTGATAAAGTCCTTAAAATAATTGTAAGTAATTTATATAACAGCGCAAATTAATTTGCCTTCTGCTCAGAAACAGTCCCTTATATTTCTTGGTCTTTTCAATAGACTTTGTTTATTTATTTAAAAAAATATACTTTGGTAACATTATAAAACAAAAACGATTAGCATTTGGATTAAATTCTTTTGGTGAAAATTGAAGTGCTGAGCTTAAAAGAGCCTCAACACGATGGGCGGTTTGGAAAAATTACACCTTGAAACTTGATCGGGGGACATCTGAACATAAATAAACCGGCACTGTGGGGAAAGACTAATCACTCCTAACATTTGCATTAATGGCCAGCGCATAATAACATTGACTGAGACTCAGGAGTCAGCTGCCTGCAGTCAGTCTAGTTTGGGGAACAGAGAGAGGAGGTGATAAGGGGTAAGGGTGTGAATTACTAAGTTTCACCACTATGGGGCAACAACAAGAAGAAAATTACATTTGTAGAGCGCCTTTCACGTCAGGGGGGACACATGCATGACCAAGATGTAAAGTGAAGCAAAAGACTAACTTTTACAGTGATGTTTTCCCTTAAATGGTTTGCAATTATTCAGTCTTGTGTACCAGCGAAACACATTTAAAACATGAAAACTGTTTGTGGGACACTGCTGTGTGTAATTGACTGCTGCGTTTCGCCCGCAAAATTCACTTAACGGTATATCCTGTAAATGCATTTGAGACGTCTCGAAGACGTGATAAGGCGCTATATAAAATGCATGGATTATTATTATTATTTAAAAGTTGCAGACTATGGCAAGTGGAAACACTCCATAGCAATTTCCTGCAGCTTGAATGTTTGCATCAAACAAATTACCGTCAGGCTCCTCAGAGCACCTCTTCAACAGGAACCAGCTGTAAAATTATGACTGAGAAAACACTTTAGAGGAGGAGGCAAGCACTTACCCTTTTTTAATGTTTCTTTTTTTTGCTTTGAGCAACAGCTTTGGGATCTCCAGGAAACGCAGGTAACACTTACTAAGAACTGAAAACAAGAAGTAAATTATTTGGTGCTTAACAGTGTTCTGGCAGTTTTGAACCCAAACCTCCACTCAAAACTCTTGCGTTTGTTTTTTATTGAAAGTTTCTGTGTAAATAGTAAATGAGAAACTATGTCAATTTAAAAGAGCCTTAAGTATTTGAAGAAATATTAATAGTCATAGAATGGTTCTGACTTTAGTTACTGTGGGAGACCATGACTGGAGGATATGTTAGGATTTCCGTAGTTTGAAATATGACTCGACAATCCAAATACGGTGTAGCAAGGTTTATTGTGACAAGAGTGAACACAATATGCATTAATAAGTTACTACAAATGTCTGACAAGTTATACTACCAATTTTTGAAGACAGTCACACATCATGGAACACCTTCCTTGTGATTCTTAAAGGGACCTCTCCACACTGGTCTCTCTCTCTCTGGAGCCTTCCTGTTCTTCTAAGCGTTCTCACCTAGAGTGCCATAGTTATACCCTTTCTCCAAGTGTCCTTCCTAGGGCCCCTCTACCCACTTCTGATACAGTCACGTACTCAGGTTAATCAACCATTTGGCTTGGTGCCAGCCTGACTGAGTCTCCACATGGTCTTCCATTTGTCCTGTCTAAGATAGGAGATTGATCAGTTTAGGGCTGTATCTGGTGCTTATTATTTTGTTATGTGGGATCATTGGTACATTCCTTTTAAGTGACTGGATATTTCTTATCAGTATCCTGGGATGGTACCAAAGTCCTCTAGTTTAAACAACTTGCTCAATAGTTGCTATTCTTGAGGGTTGCCTTTTCTCGCTTGGCAGGCCCTGTCAGAATCTAGCGACTTTTTGCTAAGTCGAGATCCCGGTACCTTGGACCTTTATCTCTGTGGGGCTTGTTGTTATTTACTGATAAGTGGTGACCTCCTACCCTTTTCCAAGGCTGTCTTATTACTCAGAGAAAACCAAATGTGTCCAATCTCATGTTTGCCACGGTTTCCTGTTCAATTCATTCGTTAACTACATTCGTTTAATGTTTCATTCTCATTAAACTACAACATTTATAATCTAACAGTTAGTTATGTTCTCGCCACAGGCAGCTCTTGGAGAACACTTCAACAGCTCAGAGAATAGTCTGGGACAAAGCAATCCACAAGTCCTCTGATACAGAAAGTGCAAGGCCATTGTAACATGGCTGATGCTTCCTTATGTTAACATTTCTACTGATTCAATGTTGTGTTTTTTTTTGCAGAAAGAGAAAAATGGTATAATAATGGTGAATTTTGCCTCTATGTTAGTGACCAAGGCTGATGTTCCTACTAATGTTATCAATGTTGCAGGTAAACCATTTAAGTAAAACAGAATAGCTTGGCAGTGACTATCCTTCAAATGAATGTTGAATGGGATCCCTGTAAGTTTGTGAATTATATAGTTGTGATCAATAGAAACAATTCAAGAATCTATCTAGCCAAAAGCTCATTAATTCACTTTAAAAGCGGTACATATTTGTTGAAACATTAATTATGCTTGATTTAAAATTTATTTATTAAAGATTTAATTTTACACCGACATTTTTAATGTATCGGAGGAAAAAGTACATTTGAGTCCATTGAGGCGTGCTTTGGAAAGGTGTTACAATTTTGTACTTGATGTTACAGATCATTTCGACCACATTAAAAAGACTATTGGATATGAATCGATTGGAATAGGTGCTGACTTTGATGGTGCACGGAGGTTTGTAATGCAGTGTAATTTGTTTTGGTCAGATGGGTGTCTGACACACGCGGAAACCCGTCACCATGCTTAAGAGTACCCAAACCAGAGTTCCATGCATCCCACTGATACATAGAAATTCCAGAGATATTTATTAAAATGGAATGCACTCTCTCCTGGATGCACGCAACCTGCTTACCTAATTACAGAAAGTTTGAGATGCAGGTTGGCAATTGGCTACCGTGTTTCGCCCACAAAATATACAGTCAGTTCACATTGACCTGAGTTCAATTCCCGGCAGGGAGAAACCTTGGGCAAGTTTCCTTACTCCACACGCCTAATAATAATCCCTCCAAAACCAAAAACAATAATAAATAGGTCATTTTCAGTCTACGACTGTTTGTGGGCATTGCAGTGCGCAATTGGCTGCCGCGTTCGCCCACAAATATACAGTCAATTCACTTTACAGTGTGTTCTGTGAAGCGCTTTGGGGCGTCCTCCCGACGTGAAAAGCGCTATATCATCAAATGCAAAGATTATTATTATTACAGTATATTCGGTGAAGCACTTCAACATCTCACAGATGTGATAAGGCGCTATATTAAATGCAAGGATTATTAAGTAGAAGTACCCGTTGTGAAGCCTCCTCTGCCTACAGGGTGCTAACAACAGGCCTACACTGACCTTCAGTGGCTTCCTGTGTTTGCCACAAATCCACCTCACTGCTTGATCCGGTGTATCCCCAGGAGCTCGGATCCATAAGGGAGGACTGTTTGGCACCATGGATCTTATATGCTAAAAACTTGGGAAATGCAATATATCTTGATCATTTCCTGTTCCATGTTGCTACTAAATATCTGATCAAATGGATGACATGTTCCAGGTATCCCAAAGGCCTTGAGGATGTGTCAAAATATCCTGCATTGATTGAGGAACTACTGAGGCGCAAGTGGACAGAGAAAGAAATAAAAGCTGTATTACGAAATAACTTCCTTCGTGTTTTTCAGAAAGTGGAAGAGGTAAGAAGAGCATAAAATATCAAATAATAAGTTTCATTTTGCATACCATCTTTTAGTTCAAAAGGACATCTCAAAGCTCTTCACAGGATTTACTGTAAATTGTAGTGACTGTGTATTTTGAGGCAAACGTGGCAACAAACTCCCTTCACTTTTCAAATACAGTTTTGGGGTCTTCAACCTAAACAGGCAGACAGGACCATGGTTTAATATCTCATCCAAATGAATCTACCTCCAATAGTTCAGCACTCTCTCAACACTATATTGAGTCGACTGAGTTCAAAGACTACGAGTTAAATATTTGCTTAAAATTAAAGTTTTAACAAATAAAACAAATTTGTCAAAGTCCCCTCATATCCAGATTTTAAAAAATTAAATGGCGATGTTAAAGTTGTCTTTTAGGCACTTTCTGGCAATCTGAAAATTTATTTTATGCTCTGTGATCAGTAAATCTACTCATGAATGTATAATAGAAGCTCAGTAAATATTTTCAATAAGGTTACAGCTAAGATGTGTTTCAAATAAAATAGAAGTTACAATTTGTCTTATCAAATAATGAGTAAATACATCAGCAGGTATAGTACTAAAGCACACAAACCTCAAGGTTACAACAACAACAACAACAAGATTCCATTTATAAAGCGCCTTTCACGTCAGGAGGACGTCCCAAGGCGCTGCACAGTTGGGTCATGACCCGAGCATTGGGGAAATGGTCAGGGTGAGGGGAGGGAAGGGAGGGAGGGGAGGGAGGAGGGGGGGAAGGAGAGGTCAGGTGAGGGGAGGGAAGGGAGGGAGCGAGAGGGGGAAGAGAGTCGAGAGGGGAGCTGAAGAGGCAACGAGAGTCGAGAGGGGAGCTGAAGGCTCGGTCAAAGAGAAAGGTTTTGAGACCGGCCTTGAAGGAGGAAAGGGAGGAAGCGGCGAAGGCACTGGGGGATAGAGTTCCAGAGCCTCGGGGCTGAAGGCCCGACCACCGATGGTAGGGCGGTTGGGGCGGGGGACGTGGAGCAGACCGGAGCCAGAGGAACGGAGGGTACGGGCAGGTAGGTAGGGGGATAGTAGGTTGGAGAGGTAGGAGGGAGCAAGGCCGTGAATGGCCTTGTAGGTGAGGATGAGGATCTTGAAATCAATCCTCTGGGGGATGGGGAGCCAGTGGAGGCGAGCGAGGGTGGGAGTGATGTGGTCCGAAGCCTGGTGCGGGACAGTACACGAGCTGCAGAGTTCTGAATGACCTGCAGCTTGTGGAGGGAGGTGGCGGGAAGGCCGGCGAGGAGAGAGTTCCCATAGTCCAGCCTTGAGGTGACAAAGGCGTGAACCAGGGTTTCAGCAGCGTGAGGGGTGAGGTAGTGCCGTAGTCTGGCGATGTTCCGGAGGTGATGGAAGGCGGTGCCAGTTGTGGTGCGGATGTGAGGGAGAAAGGACAGCTCAGGGTCGAACAAAACGCCGAGGTTCCTGACTGGCTTTGAGAGGTGGAGAGTGCAGCCTTGGATGCTGATGGTGTCAGCGCCTGAGGTGCGGAGGCGCTGACGTGAGCCAATCAGGAGGGCCTCGGTTTTTCGCACGTTGAGCTGAAGAAAGTTGTCTCTCGTCCAGGACTCGATGTCGGACAGGCAGCTGTCAGGACATCGGTGGTCGTGGAGTTGAGAGTAGAGGAGGAAAGGTAGAGTTGGGTGTCATCCGCATACATGTGGAAGTTAACTCCATGTCTGCGGATGATGTCACCAAGGGGGAGCATATAGAGGGTGAAGAGGAGGGGACCGAGGACAGAGCCCTGAGGGACACCACATGAGACAGTGCGGGGGGTGGAGGAGAAGCCATTCGTCGAGACAAAGTGAAGACGGTGAGAAAGGTACGACCTAAACCACTCAAGGACAGTGCCTTGAAGGTTGAGGTGGGAGGACAAGCGGTGGAGTAGGATAGCGTGGTCGACCGTATCGAATGCTGCCGATAGGTCGAGGAGGACGAGGAGACAGAGGGAGCCCTGGTCACAGATGGTCAGGATATCATTGGTGACCTTGACCAGGGCAGTTTCTGTGCTATGGGCAGCACGGAAACCTGACTGAAGGGGTTCGAAAAGTGAATGGGTGGAAAGGAAAGAGCGCAGTTGGGAGGCGACAACTCTTTCCAGGACCTTGGAGAGAAAGGGGAGGTTGGAGATGGGCCGGTAGCTTGATAGCTGCGACGCATCAAGGGAGGGTTTTTTCAGGGTGGGCGTGATGGTGGCAGTTTTTAAGGGAATGGGGACAGAGCCAGAGGAGAGGGACAGGTTGATGATGTCGGTGATATGTGGGGCAAGAAAGTGGAGCTGGGAGATAAGGAGTGGAGTGGGGATGGGGTCAAGGGAGCAGGTGGTTGGTTTTAGGGATAGGATGAGTTTGGTGACAGAGGGTGGGGAAACGGGTACAAAAGTGAGTAGGGGAGGATGGGTAGCAGTCGGAGTGTGGGAGTGAGGGGGTGGGGGGTTGGTGGATGTTGGAGGGGAAGTGACCGCGGAGCGAATTCCCTTGATCTTGGATTCAAGGAAATCCAGCATCTCCTCGCAGTGAAGGTTGGAGGAGATGACCTGCGCGGGGTGGCGGGGGGGACGGAGGAGTCGGGTTGTGGTGGAAAACAGTAGCCTGGGGTTGTTCTTCGCCTCCAGGATTATCCTGGAGTAGAAGGACGACTTGGCCGAGGCTAGAGTGGAGCGGTAAATTTTGAGGAGGTCCAGCCAGATTTGTCGGTGGACCGTTAGGCCAGATTTGACACAGGTGCGTTCAGCGGCCCGCACCTGGCTTTTCAGTGAGCGGAGGTGGGTGGTGTACCAGGGGGAGGAGCGGGAGTAGGAGACAGGAGTAGGTTACCAATGTTAATACCAGTACGTGCAGATTTAGCTGGCCTTAACCTTTCCAGGTTGGGAAAGTCACAATTCAGTGACCCATGTCAGTACTGTGCAGATGAGACTGTCAGCTAAAGACAGTGCCAGGTTTGTTGCTTTTACAACTCATTAATTTCCATTGTGCATTCACTATAGTAAGATGCTGCAGCTTTATTTTCCTTCCATTGCATGAGTGACATGTAATAACTCCTGTTCATGCACCTATGCAATTGGGTTAACACCTCTCCTCCAGCCCCCCCCCCGCTATAATTAAAGGACTTTTAATTAAAATTTCTTTCAAAGTTTCACGGAACATAGAGGAAAGCACATTAAATTCAAAGAGCTCCTCCATTGCCAGTATGAGGCATATGCAGCTGGTTAATTCTGTTCTAGTGAAATTACTTAAGAAAATCCCAGGGGAGTTTTGTTCTTATCTATCCAACATTGATGTCATTTTCCAAACTGTCTTGAGTTTTTGTTAATCACTGTTCTTGCTCCAATGATATTTGCTGAACACAGGCTATAATTAAACAGAGCATGTAGTGAGTGCATTGACTGCATAACTGCTTGTTGCTGCTGAAGAACAGAAAATCATGGCATACCTGTATTAATGTATATACAATTGGTGCAAACGGGCTTCTACCCACTGAAATCTTATCTTCTAGAGTCATTTAAATGCATATTTCAATCAAAATATATTAGTAACAAAACCTCTGAAATATCTAACTGAAATGGTGGATTGCAATAAATATTTGGATTTGTAATACTGCTTTATTACATCAAAATATTTCAAAGCACTTCATACTTCTTTGAAATATGGTGTCTATTTTTTTCCAGCAAATGCAGCAGCTAATTTGCACCAGTGATATCCCCTGAATATCAATGAGATGAGTGGCTAATTAATCACAGTTGGTGAATTTAAGAGAAGCAATATTGCCCAGGAAACTGGGAGACCTCCTTATTCTTTAAAATACCAAGGCATCTTTAATGTCCATCTGATTCAGTAGAATCGGTTCGACGAATCACCCAAAGAATGAGTGGGAGACCTACATTTTTTTAAAAAAAATTGAAGATAAGAAATAAGGTATTGTATTTTAAATTGCTAATAAATGTCTTCTTCTCCACAGGTGAGGGATACATTGCAGGATGTACAACCCAGTGAGGTGGAGATCGCTTTTGAGAATGTTAATCACGACTGTCACCTAGACCTCAAGAAAATCGCCAGGACAATGTCAAACGTACTAAATTCACAAAGCCGGATAACAGCTCCTAATCTTACTATTTTGTGCACAGTTATTATTATACCATATCTGTACATTTTAACTGGATAGTGAATCCAGTGTAAGATTCTGTATCTGCAAAGCTGATTGAAAGAAGACATGTAAGAAAATGAAGAAAACCCCACAACAAATTGGTAGTTAGAAAAATAGAATTTACAAATCACGACAGAATTATTAGCAAGATTGTTAAACATTTTGAAATAAATTTTCACAGAACTACGGCTCCGCCACTGCCTCACCCCTCATTCACACGTTCATCACATCTACAACAACATTTCATTTATAGAGCGCCTTTCACGTTGGGAGGACGTCCCAAGGCGCTGGACAATTGGATCGGGACTCGAGCAGGGGAGAAATGGTCAGGGTGAGGGGAGGGAGCGAGGATGGGGTAGCCTCAACTATGCCAACTCCCTGCTTGTCATCCTTCCCAAGTCTTCCCCCTTCAAGCTGTAGATCATCCAGAACTCTGCAACTCGTGTCCTATCCCACAACAGACTCTGTGACCCCATTAACGTCGCCCGGCTCCACTGGCTCCCCATTCCACAGAGGATAGTTAAAAATCCTCATCCTCACCTTCAAAGCCCTTCACAGCCTTGCCCCTTTCTACATGTAACCTGCTAACCTCTTATTGACTTGTCTGCTTTTTCTGCTCAACAGGCCTGCTCCATATCCCCCCGCCCGTCCTGCCCCACCGTCGGTGGTCAAGCCTTCAGTCTCTCCCGGTCCCCTCTTTGGAACTCCCTCGCCTCCTGCAGGTCTCAAGACCCTCTTCTTCTGACTGTGCCTTCGGCCACCCTCCTTTATCCCAAACCCCCCACCCGGGTCCAAATTGCTGACTGGGCAGCGCCTTGGGACGTCTTCCCAACGTGAAAGGTGCTATACAAATGTAATTTTGTGTTGTATTGTAAGATACATAGAGTTGCTGGATACTAATTAATAAATAAGGACCCATTGATTAGGACCAATGGAATGAGATCAGGACGGAGAGAAAGCAGGAAGGAGGGAGAACTGAGTGGAGGGTGTTGGGTGTGACTGTTGTATTGTGTAACTGGAGACCTAAAATAAGAGTGTTCTACACATTGTTGAGAACGTAACATGGTGTCAGAAGTAAAACTGAACGGATTTTGAAAAGACTATAAGATTAAACAGGGAAGAGAACGAGGGACAAAATGAGTGCTGGAGCAGCAGAGCTGGATGTAGGGACAAGATATCTGCAAATACCGCGATCATTAAGGCTAGAAGGTAACAAGAAATAATTGGCAAAGGTTTTAACGGGATTTTGAGATATTTGCCCTAGCTTCAAATGTGAAGGAATTGTCAAAAATACAGCAGTCGGCTATTTTCCTAAATGTGGCAGGAGAAGAAGCGAGGGTTACTTTGCAATTACGGAGAAAGATATGGACATGCCATTAGATAAGATGATAAAGGTCATACGTGAAAGATGCTGTGGATATAACAATGTCACAGTAGATAGATATAAATTTGGAACAAGGAAGCAGGGGCCTACGGAATCATTTCATCAATACTGTGCAGTATTACGATCATCAAGTAAAACATGTAATTATGGAGCTTTAAGAGATGATCAGAGACCAAATTGTGATAGGATTGAAAAAATAATAAAATTGCTGATTGTCCAGCACCTTGGAATGTCCTCCAGACGTGAAAAGCTCTATCCAAATGTAATTTGACTGTATTGAACGTGAGCGAATACTGGCACTCAGATAAGCAACCAATATCTGTACCTTGAGATTACCAGTGAACTGAAGTAGGAGTGGGGAGAAAAAACCTCCTTTTTTTCAATAAACAACTTGATATAGTGCTTTATTGAGAAAAAATAACATTTGGTTGACTTTTTACATTTAGTATGGTATAAAGAAAAGTTCTGAAATACTACAATAATTTAACAGCCAACAGAAAAGTTTTGCAAAATATTTTTAGCCTAACTCATAGCAGCTCCTTTTCTTGTGCAATTACAAGCTTTACCATCACTGGACAAACAATATTGTACACTGCATAGAAGTCACAACTGACTGCAGTTCATTCGAAAATGTGGACCACTCATTGATGGCCCTAATTATTTTTAGTACACACTACAGAAATAAACAATACAGTGGCTTTTTGTTCTGGACAATTCCTAAAAATATAAATACCAAAATAAATAGGAATCTTTCTTTGCCAATTACACAATCACAAGCCTTGGAAGATGCAGCTAAAGAGTTTGGATCCCTCAACTTCATAATTAGTGCCTATCGTGAAAATAAAACTTAAAAGCTATCCATTCGTGAACAGCCAAACTTATCAAATGTCTTTCAATACTGGGGTTGTCGTGTTGGAGAAGCCACAAAGCAACTGCCAGCTGCTTCCTTCGATAAAACAATCTTACACCTGCATTACAGTAAAGCTGTCAATGCAGCAAAGTTATGTAAATGCATTCTCTAACTTAAAAAGCAAAAAGCTTAATACTAACTCACCAGACATGAGCCCCAAATCCAAGCATATTCCCAGTAAAGTTAAAGAATATGAGGTACATCTTTACAAAGTCCACTTTCTTCAGACTTGCCACATTTATAATACTGTCAATGTATTATTTTATATCATGTTCTAGATATGTGTGCAGTATTCTGAAGGCAACTGCAGAGTTGATGTTGGAAAGCACTTAATGCATCAATGACGTAGAGCTTGGAAGATGAGCCGTGGGAATCGTTGTCTGAAAGGTGAACTAATAAAGGGAGTACTCGTTAGAACAGAAGGGATTTTGGAATGTTTTCTGAGATCAGGTTTAAATCACATCAGACTCCAAAATGTCTCCTCTAAAGACCCCACGTATAAGTGGGGTGTCAAGAATAAATAGTGATGACTTCACAACCACCACCTCGGACCAGAAGTACTCTCTCCAAACCTTCTGTAAGTACTTCCAAAAATTCCATGTCTGGAAATACTAGGTCAAGGATCATGGACAAAAAATATCAGCTCACCTGGAGCTCTATGGGTGCAAATTTACCCATACAAATCTCTTTAGAGTTATGCATTGTATAAAGGATACAGTTTTCATCGCCATCCTGGTTCTTTGGTGGTCCAGGCATGTTCAGCAAAACCAGCTTGGCATCATGAGACCTATTTACAATGACTTCATTTAGCTTGACCGCTGTATGCATTCTCCTTACATTGGACTGGTCTCTGAAAAGGAGGGAACGTTTAAAAAAAATAATTATAACCACATTAGGATAATAAGTGGGTACAAACAAAACCCATTAAGGTTTTAAGCAGATTGAATCAGCTGTTAAGTTACTGACTGGCTTTCTAGAAATGCTTTGTTACACTTTAATGTGGTGGGGGGGAAGAAAGACAGAATGTGCCCATAACACTCAACTCATTGAGATATGTGGGATATGTTTCACAAGCAAGTAAAATGTTGACAGGATTAAAAGCATATAGGAAACTGCATCATATTTTGCAGAATGATTCAGCTGGCTTTTAGCATGTAAAGGATCAATATAACGCATCCGGCATCTCTTGATCCTCCACATCTCATCCAAATGCGATTCCTTAAATGCCTATGTGGTTCATATAATCTTACTGCTCACAGCACAAAGTGTTTTTTCAGATCCCACTTACTGTCATCTGCAATCTGCTTCTCTTTTACTCTCTCATCCTTTTAATATTTTATTTAATTAATCTCAATGGCTTTTTATAGGAACCTTATACATCACTTTGTTTCCTTTTGTTTTATAAAATGTGTATATAGAGCTTTTAGGCTACTTCCTTAATCAGAGGAATATATTTTTTAGAATGGGGTGAGGGAGGGGTAGGATGTGAGAAGCGGAAGAGTGTCCATAAAGATCTAAAGCAGAAGGTTTTTTTTACTGAATAATACAATCAACAATCTCTTGCTTAATAGCTGCTTTAATCAATGCAGCAACACATTACCAAATCAGCTGGCAAGTCGAGCCCAGGCATTTGCCCAACAGGCGGAACAGGAAGGCGGTAAATGGATGGGAAAATGAGACCAATAGTTTAGCTTTATCATTTGCATTATTGAAATCAGGGTAGTCCTATCAACTACCAGCATGACCTCTCCGTTATTTGACAGCAAGAAGATAAGGACCAGCTATAGTTCCCCCAACCTCCCTCTTCCACAGTTCAATCTGCATCCTGATGAGGCCAGAGGCATTCACAACAGCAAGTCAGCCAAGAGACACAGTTTGAAAAAAAATCTACAAAGGACTATTAGACTATATAATGAGCATTACTGATCTAAGGAGATTCTGGTATTGACTTGTGACATTGGAATTTATTTTTGTCTTTACAAACATCCGAGTTCACAAGCTCCAAAGCACACAAACACTGAAAACATTGGTTATCTTCACTCATCCACATTGTTGTAGAAAGATGGCCTTCAAGTAGATTTGCTCTAAGCATAACTAATAGTAATGAAGAGCAAACTTCATGAGCATTTTACAGGTTTTTTAAAAAAATTGAGAAATGACCTTTTACTAGAACTATTTGTTTTAAAAATAATAACATTTAAAATAAAACACTAGCCAAATCACAAAACATTTAATACTTACAGAGTCTCCCATTCTCTGAATACATATAGATTGAAGAAAGTGTGAAAAAGAGGAGGTTAGGCGAAGAATAATTAAAGCATTTAACGAAACATGATCAGAATAGATTTTGTAATCTGGTAACGTTTAGTCTGCATTGGAAAAGTTATATGCTGTACGTATCATTTTGGGAAGTCTTTGGGAAGGCTTGTACTTCGTTTATTTTTGAACAGATTTGTATCCTTACCAACTTAAATGAAGGAAAATTCTTTTGCTACTTAACTGCTGAGTAATTGGTCTAAATATTTGGATGGCAGATTGTTTTTTGCACATTGTTTTGAGAAACTCATTTCCCCCCCCACACATTTTAGATATTTTACATTGACAATATTGTACTGAAGCTTTTAATCCAAGGCTGATTTTAAGAGAAACTAAATGCATAAGCAGCCTTAGTGGAGGACTGTATTTACAATTTTTTTAAAAAATGGAGTTACCACCATTTAATAATGATTACTTTTTTTCCAGGCATTAAATGACCTATTCTGTAAAAGAATCAAATTGTTTAAGTACAACACTTTTTTTGGATCATCAACGGCTCCATCAATATTGATATTAAACCGTGAAGAATAATTGCTCAGATGTTTCACACAAACGATGGCAAAATATGACAACAACAACAAATTACATTTGTATAGTTCCTTTCACGTAGGGTGGACTTCCCAAGGCGCTGGACAATCAGGGATAAATAAGAATAGGTCCTGCCAATTATACTCATTCAATATAAAGTAAGGACAATCAGATACTATAGATACTATACAATCAGATACTACTGAAACAATTATTCGGAGCGTAAAACTATTATAATATTTTCCATTGGGTCTTGGCCTTAAAACAGATTTCATTTTTATTTGTGCAATAGAATAGCCAGGTAAAAAAAAAGCACAGTTCAGTAAAACGACCAAGGAGAACATTTTGTAATGATTATTTGCAGGTGTTTTCAGGAGAGTAGACACTTACGGTTTAATACTGATCAATTCCCTGAAGCTGTTCGGGGTATGCATCTTACAACGGTTTCGCTCAGATTCATATTTCTCTTTTGTCCAGGTCATCTGTACTTTGTCAGGAGAAACATGTAGCTCTTCCTCTTCATCAGAGTATATGCTTTCTTGACGAATCATTGAATTCCTGTCTTTTACCAACTGAGCCTGAAGAAAGCAAAGAAACACTAAAACACCTTGTACTATAAGAATACGTTGATTATGAACAAGTGCCAGAAAGTAAAATATTTAACAGTAGACTGAACTCTGTGTTCTATTATTGTTAATACCTATTCCCTGCTTTTCTCATCAAACCAATAGAGGTAATAGACAACTTGGAAAAAACAAAGCTTGAGCTGACGAAACAAATCATGAGAATGGAATATCAACATCAGCACAGATACAACAACAACAAAATTACATTTATAGACCACCTTTCACGTCGGGAGAACGTCCCAAGACACTGGACAGTCAGGGATCAGTACCCAAGCATGGGGAGGGGTGGGGTAGGAGTGAGGGAAGGCACAGAGGTAGGAGGGCGACTGAAGGCACAATCGAAGAGGAGGGTCTTGAGACCGGCCTTGAAGGAGGTAAGGGAGGCGAAGGGACTGTGGGATGGAGTTCCAGAGTGTAGGGGCAGAGAGGCTGAAAGTCTGGCCACCAATGGTAGGGCGGGAGACGGAGCAGGCCGGAGCCCGCTGAATGGAGGGAGCGGGCAGGTTGGTAGGGAGTAAGCAGGTCAGAGGTAGGAGGGGGCAATGCGTGCGTGAGGATTTCGGCAGCCTGAGGGGTGAGGCAGTGGCAGAGTCTGGCAATGTTGCGGAGGTGGTGGTAGGCAGTGCCGGTCATGGCGCGGATGTGGGGGAGAAAGGACAGTTCAGGGTCAAACAAAGCACCCAGGTTCCTGACTGGCTTAGTGAGGTTGAGTGTGCAGCCGTGGAGGCTGATGCTGCCAGCGCCTGAGATGTGGAGACGCTGGCATGAGCCAATCAGGAGGACCTCGGTCCTGCTGTCGTTCAATTGGAGAAAGTTGTCCCTCGTCCAGGACTTGATGTCGGACAGGCAGTCGGTCGGGACGCTAGCAGTCCTAGAGTTGAGGGTGGAGGCAGAGAGACAGAGTTGGGTGTCATCCACCTCCATGTGGAAATTTACCCCATGTCTGTGGATGATGTCACCAAGGGGGAGCATGCAGAGATCCAAGTAGGCAATAAAAATATCCAAATCAGATTTTAAACAGAGATGAGAAAGTAAACTCCGAACAATGCTTTCAGATGCACTGAGACAGCAGAAGAGGACACAAGTTTAGGGTTGCAATTTCAGAACAGATATCAAGAATTATTTATTTACCCAGAGGGTACAGATTGCCAGGAACAGATGACCAGGAAGTAAGTGGTGTTGAGGCCAGGATGCTGGAAACAATTTAAAACAGGTTGGTACTACAATGGAAGGATGGTGTGCAAAGAGCTAAGGAGCTGGTACTCAAGCTCCACACTGTACTCCAGGGCACTGGGGACAAGGATGCTTCTCACGAAAATCCCATTAATCCTGCAAGCCAAAGCCCTAACAGATAGGGTGGTCCAAACTGAAAAAGCAGTGGGAACGCTTGCTAGTAGTACTTTCAGTGGTAAGCTATTTGGTTTTAGCTGGTTAAACCAAACAGTACTCCAACACACATTCTGGGGTCCTTGAGACTTGGCTCTTGTGAGCCTAGACCAAATACTCTCCAGAATGAGATAAGCATGATGCGTCCTTTCAGAGAGTGCTCATTCCATTAGATATCAATACCAACAAATAAATAAAATCAAATAATGCAGAATATTTAAATTGTATTCCATCATACCTCTCTTTCCCTCTCAGTCTTGGATAGCCTCATCTGCCTCAACATTTGTGACCGCTGCTCCATCATCAGAGTTCTTTCGTATGTATAAGCTGAAATATCACTGCCGTGCTGAGAACAGAATTTGATGACATTATTATAAGAAATTATATCTCCAATAAAAATGTTGCTAAAACATACTTTAGGTTTCACCATTTCTCACCATCTCAACTACTTCAACTTCTGCCTCAATTCGGAGGTGGTAAAGGAAAGTTGCAAGGTCCTTTTTCATCTGAATGCTGTTATCATCCATTTGTGCAACAGTGAAAATGCGCATCGTGCATTTTTTCCAGACCTGCGCAGGAACAGTTTGTGTTAAATTTCCATTTACGGTCAGAAGCTGCTAAAGTAAAACCACACTAAATACAAACAAACAATTTGATCATGACTTCCAACAAAGAGGAAAAAAATAAAATGTTACTATCAGCTGATATGGATTTATTGCCCAGCTGGTAGACCTTAGAACCATAGAAATTCAAAGCATAGGCATTTTGCCCATCTCGTCTGTGCTGGCTCTTTTAAGAGCAATCATTTCAGTCCCATTGACCTGCCTTTTCCCCTTATCCCTGTAGCTTACTCATTAGCCTGTTCCATTTACATCTTGGTCCACTGCATGTAGTTACTCTTCCAAAATAACAGCAAATCCTTTAAATTCCTCCCCCCACCTTTATAAATGACTTTAGAAATAAACAAAACATTTAATTATTTAAAGTTGCCTTGCAGATGGACTTATTAAAAAGCTTTTATTGTTGCTCCAATCTAGAGAAACAAAGAGTTATTGCATTTGTTTAGTTGTCTTGTGCAAAGCCATGGTACGTGACAAGTTTCAGAATCAGTTCTCTCAACCAAGAGTTGCAAATTTGTGCTACCAGTGCCATTTAAAAGAAATGGGAGGCACAGTCATTCATTGTACCTTCCCCAACCGAACCAGTCTTCTGATTTAAACAATTACAATTTTTTAGTTTTCATCATGAATTAAATATGAAGCGTGACTGTTAACTGCAAACTATCAAAATTGGACACCCAGCAATAAATTCCAGCTATTACAGATGGGACATTGCCATGTATATTTGAAATTTCTAACACTGAAAAAAAATTTCAAAACTACTACAGTTCACGTTACTTAGTTTGTACCTTGTGTTGTCGGAGGAGGAAAGGGAGCAGCATCAACATGCCCCCATCGTGCACAATCCACCAAACATCAATGCGGCCCTCAGTAAAGCGTTCATGATTACTTGGATAGAGGGAGACGTTCTTGGGCACCAACAGAGCAAGGTGACCAGCTGTGGTGACTCTTACAGTGTCTGGAAATAGGATCAGTGTTATTTTGGGAGTGGCATTTTCTTACTAACAAGACACACTGGAATATGAATCAAATAAGCTAACTGCTGAAAACTTGAATCTGGGGTGGAAGAAATACAATTGTGCTATTCACAAATTAGCTTTGTTGCAATCACCAAGACTTTCAGTAAGTAAACATTGAAAACCATTGATTTATAGACACTGTGGTTAATTGTAAATCACAAAACCTGCAAGTTATCTACAGTCAGTACACCAAGAACATTATAGATTTAATAGATCTGTGATTAAATATGCCGTGCACTGACTTGCTATCAGCCTACAAAAAAAATTGATGAGCAAACCTGCCAAATAACAGCATTGCCTCAACCTCTCTGGGAAATAAACAGTTGAGCTGTTGAGAAAGTAGCAACCACAGGTGCATGATGGCATTCACATAGAGATTGTGATATTGTAATCATACGGTCAGTATTCAGTTTATTTTAAAAAAAATTCCACTCTTGAGTAAATCTTACCAATGAAAGTTTTCCAGGCTCTGGGATCCTCACTCTGTCTCCAGCCATAAGGCCAACCCATAACTACTGAATTGTGTTTCATTCCACCAAGTCCACAAGATTGAATTAAATGTGCAATGCCTTCTCGAACCTTGGAAGAAACCACCAATTGAGTAAACCCTTTCACCTTCTCTATGGCCATCATGCTTTTAATTGTCTAGAATGAAGAAAAGAAAATTATACATGTAACAATAATCAAACTATACATAATTCAAGTGGGAAGAATTCCAGCCTCCAGTGACTGGTTTGTTTCTCCAAGTGCTGTCAATAATACGACAGACCTGACTGGCTCAGGCAAAAGGCTATGAGACTGCAACGGAGAAATCAACTCAATTCCAATCTTCCATTGTTCGGTGCATCACCAGCCCCAAAGAGACCCCCCACTTACTTTTTCCTCTCTCTCCCTTCCCCTCCCTCCCCAATCAGGATAGTTATTAGTTGGTTATTAGCCTTCTGACAAGCACAGGTTTGAGCACTCTCCATTCACTTTTGGTAAAACTGTACAAGTAGATTTTGTTGATGTCAAATTCATTTTGTATCTGAACTCAGTGTTAAGTGACAAATAAAATAAGATGCCACAGCTGCAGTTAAGTCTAAATTCTAGGCCAGGTGACAATAATGGTAATGTATTCCATTCCCCAATACTCACTGCCTTAACCTTAATGAGGATGAGAAGGCACCTCATCTCAAAAAAATGTAACATTTAAGCCATACTTGTTCAGCGGCTTGTGCTTCTCCGTAGTTTTCTAGAAAATTCCCTTGAATGACTGAGCCAACGATAGTTAAACCTTTGCCAGCTTTTAGCTGAGATGCAAATGTTAGCAATCTGGGATGTTTCACATGTAAATCTTCATCTAGTTTCAGCAGTACCAGCAACTGAGGCCTAGGGAAAAAAGCATTCACAATTTAGTGCAATAATTCAACAACTTTTTTTTTCCCAAGAGTGCACCATTTGGGGTAATGTGCACTCTGAAAAAGATCCATTACATACAATGTCTGTCTATCAATACAAAGGAGTGGACTACAATATTTAGAACACTTCTAATGGATGATTGGACTAGAAGAAAACCTCCTTCAGGTAGGAAATATGAAAGAAATGAAGAACTGATCAACATATTAGATTTGAGTATGTTACTGCAAACCCTGAATAATAACATAGATATAATCTCCAAATCAACTCTAAACTTACCTCCAGTTCTTAGTATGAGGAGGACCTTCTTCCAGCCTCAGCAAAGCATAACGAGCTGCGCTCAGAGACAGACCCCGAATACCATCACCCCACTCTTTTTCTGCACTGCAGAAATCAGACAAAATTAAGCCTGTTAATATCATATTGATCAGCATTATTGAAATAATTGTCAAGGCAGGAGCGATTGGAAATTTATTAATGATGACAGCAGTTTCAATATAGTTTAACCTCGCCTTGTAGCATTGAGTGTAACACAATATTTAAGCTACTTTTACAGTGCTTTTCCACACTTGAAAGCAATGGGGAACAAAATCCCAAGCTCATCAATGAGGGCATCTCACTACGAGAACCTACTTGCTAGTTTTCACTTTGTTAGAGAACAAAGCAACTGCCAAATTTCCCAAATAAAACCATGGCACAGAATTCTCTGCTATAATTAAAATCAAATGAATACTGCCAATTAAGATGGTTGAACTCTTTGTACAAAGTCAGTGCTCATTTATGCAATAGATCTAATGCTGCGCTATTTGCTTGTACTTTTCTCCCAGTTTGCTACTAATCCCGATTATGCGAGATGACAATCCTGATGTATTTTAGAACAAATACCAGGGTAAACAAAATCAAGTGCTAATAGGAACATAAAAGAACAACAAAATTACATTTGTATAGAGCCTTTCATGTTGGGAAGACGTCCCAAGGCGCTGGACAGACACAGTTATGGACCAAGCTGGGGGTTGGGGTGGGAGAGGGTGGAGGGCAGGGGGGGTGAAGCAGGGAGATCGAAAGCACGGTTGAAGAGGAGGGTCTTGAGGTGGGTCTTGAAAGTGGCGAGCGAGACGGAGGGACTGTGGGATGGAGTTCCAGATAAAACCCTATTCAGTAAATCTAACATGCTCCTTATGTGTTTAAAAGTTAAGATACATGAGATTCCTTAATCACTTCTTTGTTCAGCATCTTTAAAAACAGCTAGTTGCTCAGAAACCAGCTGTTTAACAAATTTGAGCAAGGTATCATGAATCAGTTATTTTCAGAGAAAGGAAAAAAACATATTTTAACTGGGTCAAACATTAGTCATGAAAACAAAACTGTAATCTGCAAAAAAAATTAACTTTTTTTTAAACTTACCCTTGGTACTCAATATACTTGTAAATCATGCCTGCGATAAGCATAGCGACAAGAGCGTAATACCATGAAGAAATGAACATTAGAGCAAGGCATGTGCTCATGCCTAAAAATGATAAAGCCCTACAGAAAGTAAAAAAAATAAATAAAATAATTTTGTTTTACACATTTCTGAATTTGAAGCCTCTTAGGTACAACATCAAAATTTTAAATTGCTTCCATTTAAACATTCAAAATCGGAACAAGCTTAATAATCTTCTAATTTGTTGCACAATTTTAAAATGAAATATTAGGACAATTAGACAAGTCATCAAGCCCTTTATATACAGGCACTTACCAATGGTAGTATTTAAATCTGGGACGCCAGTTGGGAGTTCGCAGAAGTGTTTGTACTGCACAAGCCAGGTTAACAAACAAATAGCACATTAAGAAAAACCTGTAAAATATGAATGGCAAATGTATCCAGCAGATTTCATCATTACATAATAGCTTAAGATAGATACTAAGGATAATGCACAAAGATATACCTACAGTCTGGATCTTTATTAATCCACATGATACGCATAATCCATGGAACATAGTTAGGATTTGTATCTCACTGAACGAAATTTGGAGTTGTATTCTAATTGATTATTCTTTTAAAAAGATTTTTTTTAAATCATGAATTAAAAATATGATCCACTCAATTTTTTTAATTTAAAAAATCGTTACAAAAACGTCTACTTACATTGAGAGAATGGGAGCCACCATATCAAGTGAGGCGATCAGTATTCCGAGTTCAGCTATTATAGCCGTCAGAAGAAGAGCCCAAGTTGGTTCACCATTTGCTTTTCCATGTCCAAACACCTACACATAGATTTGCATTTCAAAATACAGTCAGGATCTTAAAAGATCAAAAAAATCTGTACTTCCTAATGCTGTAAATGTGAAATAAATATTTAATTGTTAATTCATCTTTACTCGCCCCTTCCTTAGCCTCTTTCAAGTCCCATCTCAAGACCCTCCTCTTTGACTATGCCATCAGCACCCCCCTTTCCCCCCCCAACCCGGGTCTGAAATGCTGTACTCTGTCCAGTGCCTTGGGACATCCTCCCGACGTGAAAGGCGCTACACAAATGTAATCTTGTTGTTGATGATCACATTTAGATGAACAACAATAGGGGTGTTTAACAAAGCAATTAAGTTTGTACTGACCCGTAAGAAAGGAATGATATTGTCCTTAGCAATTGCTTGTAGCAATCGGGGAGCCCCAGTTAAGCTTTGTAAACCGGCTCCACATGTAGAGAAAAAGGAACCAACCACAATAACCCAGGGAGAAGGCCAAGCTAGAGTTCCCACAACTAAATTCTTATTAACAGCATCACCGTATCTAGAGAAAGAAAAAAAAACACCATCAAATTCTAGATAACACAACTAGCAGATCTCTATGACAATAAAGCATCAAAGAAACAAATCATAGAAAGAATCTGATAGGTGGACAATCATAGATAGGACATCTGAAGGTTGCACCCAATCTGATACAGTAGCTTAAAGGGGAGTCCCCATGAGTTTGTGGAAGAGAAGAAGGCCTGATTAATCTAGGTGTTCTATTTAAAAATAATAGATATTATATTTGGATCTTAGTATAGCTTTGACAACAACAACAAGATTTCATTTAGAGCGCCTTTCACGTCCTGAGGACGTCCCAAGGCGCTGGACAGTTGAGTCAGGACCCGAGCAGGGGGGAAATGGTCAGGGTGGGGCGAAGGGAGGGAGCGAACGAGAGGGGAGCTGAAGGCACGGTCAAAGAGAAAGGTCTTGAGACCGACCTTGGAAGGAGGAAAGGGAGGAAACAAGGTGAAGGCACTGGGGGATGGAGTTCCAGAGCCTAGGGGCTGAGAGGCTGAAGGCCCGGCCACCGATGGTAGGGCGGTTGGGGCGGGGGATGTGGAGCAAAACACCATTGACCAAATAGACATGCTTTAATTAACATTTTTATAATAATAATCCTTGCATTTGATATAGCACTTTATCAAGTCTTCGAGACGTCTCAAAGCGCTTCACAGGTTATACTGTAAAGTGTATTGATTGTATATTTTGTGGGTGAAATGCGGTAGCCAATTGCACACATAATGGAATTGAAAAATATTATGCAGAATATTTTGCAACTGGGCAATTTAAATAAAGCGCTTCAGGTTATTAAAAATAATGCAATACTTACTTATCGCGAAGGACAACACCTTCGACACAGGCGCCAAATAACACCACACTACTCAGGTCTGGAGTTTCAGTTAAAGCAAAGTAAAAGTCAGTTCAATAAATTACTTTGACAGGATAAAATTATTTCATATCGGTCCCCTTTCCTCGATTACCGTCTATGGTATCTTCACTGGACACCAAGGGATGAACCAAAGTTCAATGATTATATATTGGTGGAAGAGGGAAATTGGGTTTCACTGGAATCAACCGTTTACATTCAGCGTGAGTCAGTATACAACTTTTGCTAATTGATAAGAGTTGGAACCCATGTTCAACACTGGTCTGCCTTGCTTTCTCCTTTCAGACACAGTACTCTGTTCACTTGATGCCATCTAGTGGAAGGCTGATAATTAGCAAGACATACAGCAGAACAAGCAAGAGACTGACTCAAACTTGTGAACCTTCTGGTTGGGAATCACAACATCTGGCCATTGGAGCAGTTAGCTTACTCATTCTGGTTTCAACTTTGAATGATCAATAACTAACCACTTTCTGAAGTGTAAAAAGGATACAAACTAGTGAAGTTGTAGCAATAGCCAATATTGTACCAACAGGAATCGACTTTTGTGCATCCTTCAGGTCTCCAGATCGATTTGAACCAGCCATGATACCTGGAAGGTAAAAAGCAAAGAACATTAAAAACATCAATAAGAGACTAACTATTTAACTAATGCTGTATTTTAATTTTATTAACTAATTGCTTTCCCTCTTTTTTCTAAAAATATTCAGTAAACACAAGAATGAGTACAATTGAAAGCCTACAGTATAAAGAAATGAAAATGGAAAATTGTAAACACATTTCCAAATAAAGCTTATGATAAGGACCATTGCCTTTTCTCTACCAAAAGATCAAAGGTACTTTATTCCAAGAAGCAGTAAATCAATGCTATTATAATACCACAGTTTAAATAAAACCAAGGCACAAACTGGGATGGACAAATAAAAATTTAAAAATGCAAGTTTAAAAAATGCAAAGCAACAAAGAGAACCTGAACCAAAATAAATAAATGTTAGAAACTTCCCTACAGAAGGCAAAAATAATGGGAAAATTATATTAAGCTTCACTTATTCCAACAACCAATTCTAAGCAGTGTCTTGGAGCAGGTTGGTTGCCTGCCTAATAATATTTGGCACATGTCAATGGGAGTGGGGGAAAAATAGCCTAAACGAGGTGCCAAACAAAATGTTGAACTGGAAGGGAGGGGAGAGGAAGAGTATAGCAGAAATGCTATTTATAGCAACAGAGTGAAAATGTTTTTTCTCATGTATCAATGAATATTCAAAGTGTTCTCACCAGTTACTGAAGGAAAGAAGATGCCAACCAGCATGGTAAAAGTAGTGGTTATGTCTGCAAGAACATAGATGGGTATATACTTTTTTGGCCCAGAAGTTTCAACCGATTGCAACGTTTGCTTTTCGAGTATCTCCCCCTTGGTCATGTACCTGCTCCACAGGTTTTCTGCAACAAAATTGAACAAGCTTTGGTTTAATAAACAACTTCCATTTTGGCAAGTTTCCAAGAAAATAATCCAAACAAACACCCATAGTTAGGAAGGATGAATATGATCTAAGTGTCAAAGCTGCTAAAGTTATTAAAATGTGCAAATCTGAAACTCTTTGACCGATACCCTAATATCAACGACTGAAAACCCACTAGTAATCCTAAAATGGTACTCCTCACCAACCATTTTCTCAAATTTCCCTCCATCTTTCAAAACTGAAAAATTCGCAAGTGGAAACACAATAAAAAATATCAGTTGATACAAAGAATTCAACTCGAGTTCTTATTTGTAACAATAATAAATTGATCATTTTTAATCCACGACTGTTTGTCAGACACTGCTGTGCGCAATTGGCTGCCGTGTTTCGCCCACAAATATATGGTCAATTCACTTTACAGCATATTCTGTGAAGCGCTTTGAGACATCTAGAAGACGTGAAAAGCACTATATCAAATGCAAGGATTATTATTTTATTATTATTATTTGGCACTTCAACACAACATCTGTGAATACTTGGATGGCTGCTAAGAACAAGTGAAAAATGAACATTCTGGTGCAATCTCCTTCTCACAAGAGTTATGTGTAAATGAAAGGCATTTTCAACGGCACATACATCTGACAGATCAGCTTCTTGTAAAGTGCACATCAGTTCAGATAAGAACATCCCACTCAATGCTCAAATTTTATTTTTGGGCCAATTAAGTACGAAGAGTACATGGACTATGTACGTTAGCCATCCAGGAACTAGATGGAGTTTCCCCAAATACGTCTGGTCCTTTAACCATCCAGTATGCTGAAACTTGCACATTTAGTAAACATGAAGATGGCCACCAATGATTGAACATTTGTATTCAAACCAATTCAGAACAGGAATTGGGAAACTACAAACTTTTGTTAAATAGAAAAGTAAATGTGCATGCAGTTTTCTATTGCTGAATCCAATATAGAACCCAGCAAGCTATGTAATTCAATAACACTTAAACAAATCACATTAGTAATAAAAACAACAAAATAATATGCATTTTGTACAAACCGTATATAATGCCACTTGCCACACCAGGAATCCCTTGGATTTCAGACACATTATTGTGAACAAAATACTCGTCACAATCATCCGTGGTTAGATTTTTACTGTTGCAGAAAAATTCCCACAGCTGGGTTGCCACGGTTTCATTGTTTTCAATAGTGGTCTTGGCACAAACATCAAACAAACCTCTGGAAAGTGTTCGATTTCCTAACATACAAATTCTAAGAAATAAACATGAATGGGTATTGTTATGTCGAAAACCATTTTCTCTATAAGTGCTCTGGCTGACAGCAGTATGTAGAAATACTACCAGCAATCAAGAGAATGCTAACAAATGTCTTACTTTTCCATTAGTAACACATAACCATACATTTTCTTTCTACAGAGCTTGTAACAATAGATTGGGCACATTATGAGTGATGTTGCATACTGTTGCTTATATTAAGGTTTTTGGAATAATAAGGGAAGCCTTACTCAAACACTAGCTATTTTTCCAACAATTTAACTGTTACAAATTGTAGTCTTTTTTAAAAAAACACAGAAGCAATGGCTAACACAGCAAAGATATCACTTACTTAAATTCTGGAGGATGGACTGCTGTTTTAATGACACCCACATAAATGGACAAGATGGATATTATCACACAGACCAAAAATAAGGAGGCAAATTTATTAACATATCGGACTCCTATGAAGACAACTAAGCCCATAAAAGCAAGGAAAATTGTCCCATAGAGTCTCATGTTGTTCAGCATAGCACCAGACTCATTTGAGTCAACAGGTTTGAATACCGCTGCTGCAGGGACAATGTAGGTCTGAAAGTAAAGGGAATTAGGATCCATTAGAAATTATACCAAATAGGAACAAAATCAAAAAGCACAAATATATAACCATTTGAAATGTTCACGCTGCAAAGGGGAACATGCATTATTTGTAACTAGTAACTGCAGCTTAAAAGAAAAGCAAGTAATGTGTCATTAACAGCTCAACAAATTATTCTCCTTCAATAATCAAATCTGTTAAAGCAACCACCTGCTGTCAACAATCGCTCTGGAACAGTACTGACCGATTTTCTATAATATACCACCCCTATGCAGCAACCAACTGTCTAATCCAACCAGTTGCCACTCTTTTTTTAAAAAAGCTCTGTTGAACAGGTTTGACTGTATTTTTTCTCTTTACACTTAAACCAAAAATCTCATTTTACTCATAGGAGAATATTGTCCTACAGCTTTACCTCTTAAAAGTGAATTACAATGCATTCCAAGAGGTTAATGTAAATGTTTCAAATATTGTAAGTACAGCATTCCCCAATTAATATTTTTATTCACACTTGTATCATATGCTGCTTTGTAAACCCAAAGGCAGAAAAAAATGTACACAGTAAAAATCAGGAAGAATTTTGCTAAGAACTGAAATAAAAATAGAAATGTTGAAAATCCACTGTGTGTACAATCAACACCTGATTATTTCAGCAGTAGCCCACAGGGATAGAGACAGGATGTTCAAAGTCCCTGTTGTGTTGAGCCAATTTGCCTAACAAAGGTTTAAAATTGTCTGCAGTCGCAGCTTCGAGCTGTTCAGGCTATGCCCTGAGAAAGTTACTTGTAGTCGGGGCCCATTTAAAGGCCAGTGTGCAAGACTGTTTTGAAAACAATACTTTGAGGCGAGTGCCTCAGTCAATTTATCTAATAACTTGACAGCACATCAAACGTCATTCCTGTGCCAAGAAGCAGAGGTAGAGAGGATTGCAAGTTAATCATTAAAATCAGGATATCACCACTCTAGCTTTTTGTTTTTTAAATGAAAGTCTTTATGCTGTGGAGGAGTTTTCATTGCCTTGAGTGATTTAAGCTATAACTTCCTAATCTTTTTCGACATCTGCTCTTTTTCCCTGCTGCATAAATGACTGTCCTGCTGAGACATGCAATCTTAATTCTTACCATAACAGACCCTTCCAGTACTTTCCTCCTTCATTCAGGTTAGGTCAGTGTACATGTATTAACATGCAGAACATCTCTACTGTTCTATGATCAGCCAAAAATTGACGCGGTTTCAGAGTGGGTAACAGTGACACATGCCGAGGTTTCCTTTAAACTTTAAAAGATTCAATCCACAAGAAATAACCATGCTGTATAATCAAGCTCAGAGTGTAACCTCCAGTCAAAACAGGAATTGGTCTTCTTTTGTTCACATTAAAATCAGACCCCATTAAAACACATTTTGATATATAATGCAGATCCGCTTACACTTCATGTGTACCACTTTTATAGCACATCATGTATAATGTGGAGTTGCATTTTATGGGCCACCATTTTAATAACAGGTTCAATGTATTCTTAAAAATGATTGGTGGGGACCACTTCTTATAATAATATATGATTTGCCTTTGAGGAAGAAAAATAATAATTCAGGAACATCTGGACCAAATGCAATAATGTAATTAGTGGTAGATGAATTTTAACGTAGATAAATGTAAGGAATATTGGAACAAGGGTATGTGCACACAATGAAAAAAAAGGAAATTCAAAGGAAGAGTTACTTTGCATCAACTTACCAATAAGATTTCAATGGCACCAAGTATATACATGGCTCCTGCAAAAGTAGTTCCAAGATAAAAGCACAGACCAACCGCACCACCGAATTCAGGACCAAGTGACCTTGAAATCATGAAATAAGAGCCTCCAGCTGCAAAACAAAATGGCCAAGACAAACAGTTTGATTAGAAAAGTAAATACATCATGAGACAAAGGAATTCTAAAGGTGGATTCCAGCCTGTGGAGTTGGATTTTTTTATAGCAACTGTCTCCCAGCATCCAACCTTAGAAAGACAACCCGTTAAAATAGTTTCAATGCAACTGCAAGGCATTGCCTCAAAACATTCAGCAGGTATATGGATAAAACTGGCAGCCAATGATTTGGAAATTTTGTTCATAAGATGTTCATTACCTGGTACCACTCCATTTGTTGCGATAGCACTCATTGATATAGCTGTTAGCATGGTCTGAAAAACACAATATCAAGAAAGCAAGCCAAGTCTTTGTGAACATGCTGTACAAATCATTCTCCTAAAATAAATTGCAGAAAAAAGCTTGGTTGCTATTCTGAATGTTGCAATAGCACTCATTGATATCAATCTTAAACGAACAATTGCTTTGAAGCATTTGAAGCCTCCTGGTGAATATTTCCCCCAGAATATGGCATTTTGGAATATGAAATATATATCCTAGTAATCCACCTTTGAAACTGAATTCTTGTTCTTTGTTGGATAGCGCAAATATTACTACACATGCATAACTTATTTTTAGATTAAATGGACAAACATTCAGTCTATACATTTAGCAAAGCTAGTCCAGTAACATTTTGGGTACTTACACAGCAGCAGCACATGAAGACAATACAGAAAGACTGCAAGACTCCTGCCGCTCCTACAAGCCATGTCAGTCGGAGAAAAAGAATCACTCCAAAAATATTTTGTAGGCAGGGTAGGTAAACTCCCATCAGGGTTCCCATACTGGGAGACTAAATAGGAAAATAAAATTAAAAACTATTAAGGTAATTTGCAGATTAAAGCTTGGTTTTATCTTATATAGCAATTTTCACATTCATCATGCATCTCCTACAGATGCTGTTCTTTTGACCAATGGAATTCAAACAAAAAGCAAAATGAATGAAAAATCGTTTGTAAAATGTGAGATATAAATCAGAAATACTAAGTTAAACTTTCCAAAAAGTAATTTCCTTGTTTATAGCAAATGCCATTGGATTCCATTATTTAAATCACCCTCAACTGAAACTACCCCGTCCAAAATGGATGTGTTATGGATCAGCAGTTAACAGCATGGCGTCTATGCCTTCAAGCAGCAGAAAGCAGTAACAAGTTATTACTGGATCATTCAGCACCCATTTTGAGGGAAATAATCAAGGCAAACTGGATTTAAATGACAGTTGCCAAAAATACTATGTTAAACGGCCAGAGGCAATTTATAACCTTGACAGAAGGATGGATCTTTGGAATCATGATCTTTGAAATCTTCATCTTATCGTAATCACGTTCTCTTTTGTATCATTGTAACAGGAAGACATGTGGAATTTTCCCCTCAATTTAAAACTGAAAGCAACATTAATATTCTTTTTAATTTATACTAATTATTTCTTTGTACTTTTGAAAGCTCCATGTACCTTAGAATAATTAATATACAGGCCCAAAAAAACCATGCAGAACCTTACAACCGATAATCAACAATCATAGTCACACACAATCATATTTATTGCACATCAGGATACCTAATTTCCTGTAGGGCTATATTTACATTTTATTTCTGATCAATATCAGTACATGTGCAAAGATCAAATTTTGAAGGTCAATCTCCCTTTGTTTACTAAATCACTGAAAGCCAAATATCCCATCACTGTTATTTGAGAAAATGCCTGCAAGGCTGCAATATATAAATAGGTGTCTGATATTAAAAGTTGACAAAGTTAAATAACTTCATATCAATGGCAAACCCTTTACAGGTACAGCATATTATATGAAAGATGGTAAATTCAGAATCCAAACTAATCTGTCATATATCACAGCTCTAATCAGTGACATTAAAAACAGCCACAGTGCTTCCAAAAACATACTGGACGTTTGTCAGGTGAATACTGGCCGCAATCCAATCTTAAATTTCACACGTCGGAAAAAAAAAGCTGGAGTTGAATGCTGTGGTTTAGACCCCATTTGAGCCCCTCGATTGGATTAATGCCTTGTGATCCTAGAGTAGACATTCAGCCTACTTCAGGTTTACTTATCCAGTTCAGTATGCTTACTGCATGTGAAAATGAGCTAGTGCATATTTCTTTGATTGTACTTGTTAAACTTCTCTGGAAAAGCAGAGCTGAATGGAAACTTTCCAACTCTATAAAGTAGAATCAAAATAAAACTAAAATATTTTTATAGTGAGTATTGCAAAAGAAATCTTTCACAAACTAGTACAAGCTTACAATTAGTTCTATTCAAATTCAAGGATTTGCTAGTCAACCTAAATAACACTCGCCATTTCTGCTAACTGTGTAACAAGGAACTTTATCAGAATTCAGCATGAAGCGCATAGAAGTTAGACCACAATTTTTGATCCGCTAGAAAACGAGGAAAGAAATTAGCGGGTAAGGTACTATCAGTCATTGACCCTTCCAGTTAACATTACGCAAGAACTGTACTTATTGTGCAGTTGGCTTGTCATCACAATATAAATTATGATAAATGAACGCTCCTTATTTAGCTCTATTTCCTGTTACGAATTATTGGCTTCCAACTTTGTAATGCCCAACTGAATATATGTGGGGAAAGGATAGAAGACTAAAAGGATTAATACTCGAAGTATTCAATGTTAGTAAGCTACTTTTATGCCATGCAACCGGGGTCTGATTGATAATCATCCCAACCATCACCCTATTTTTCCTTTTTCTTAAGATTTCTATGCATAAAAATTATGTTCGGCATTGTGGGAAATCCCATTAAGGGCAGACATTGCCAAAGGCATTGCAGGCAATGCTAAACTGAACGTTAATCCTATTAAAAAAGGGGATCACTCATTTTGCCATAGCCATACCACCTTTTGCGCCAAACAAAGGAACAGGACAAAACCAATGCTTGCTGTGTGGCCAATTATTCATTTTGATTTTAAGTTTTGCAATTACATTTTGTGCACAATACTTCCATCTGTGGCTGTAAACACATCATATCCAAAGGAACAACAAATCGCTCTGAGGATGTAGTCAAGTACTTTGGGACATTGTTTCACATAGTTTTAGCTGGAGGTTCAAGTCCCACATGCAATATTTATTTGATCAACTCATCACTACACACTACAGAAGTTTGCCATTCCTACTCTGTTGAAGAAGCAATTGGCCAGGCATTGGCCCATTCCCAAAACAGCTGAGTAGTAGTTACCCTAGAAATACTCAGGAGTTGATCAACCTTCCATTTTGACAGTAACCTAAGATGCTTCACAAGGTCATTTCTTGAAATCTCACAGATCACATATTCAAAAGATGTTGTCATCTTATATGCACAGATTTGCATATAATAATATGAACCAGATATGCAGGAGCATTTAGTTTTTTTAAATTATGCTTCATTGCAATAAATTCATAGTTAAAATTCTGAAGAATATTAAACTAGTCCTCACTTATTTACCAATATGGTACAAAGTGAAAAGGCATATCTGTCTTGACTGCAGGTTACCGGTTTTGTCAAATTTATTACAATTGTAGTTTGTTATTTTTTGAGGAATAAACACTGAATATTTTTCCTAGAATGCATAGAGGGCCAGTATAAATATTTAATATAAATTTATGTAAAGTTGAACAGTTAAATAATGTACATTGCCCTGAGTAGTCTGAATTAAATGCCAACAGTACGAACAATTCATCGGACTGTCATTCATGATTCATGTCACAATATCACATTGCCAGACGCAGAGTCAAAACTGTATTCAATTTCAATAACAATAAACAGACCGGCTGTCATGTAGTATTGAGGCAGGACTGTGTTGAACAGCTAGACAAGAAATTCATCTCAAACCAGATAATAATTACCTTAAATACTTTCTTCTTGGCATTGTCTCCACTCTCTGATTCCTCATGTTCCTTTGCTCCCTGAGTGATGTTTGTATAATTGGCCAACCTGTTGAGGAGGGAAGACACCTTTGGTCGAATGTCCAGTTCCTCCTGCAGAACACAACAAATGTGGGGTGTGAATGATGTATCAATGAAAATAATTCACAGGCATCTAACCACCAGGTGCAATAACAACCCTTGATAGCAGTGGTGGCCAATCTTTTTGGTCATGGGTATCAGGGCTCAGTAGCTGCTGAAAACAAGGTTGGCACGGACTTGGCTGGACTTTTGGTCCATCAAGAAGTGGCTTGCCCAACATACACACCAGCCCAGGCAAGTCCGCACAAAAAACAATACCTTATTTCCAGTAGCTACTGAGCCACAATACCCATGGCTTGGCCACAAATTAATAAAAATTCAATAAAGGAAAATGTATTTGGTTGGCTGACCAAAAAGATTGGCTACCACTGATTTACACTAAAAGGATGTTTTTCTGGGTATGGGTGGGTGTGAGTGACAAAATACGAAAGGTATTGTAGTGCAAGGAGTAAAGTTGTTTGTTTATACAATAACGAAAATAAAGAAGATCTCAACTAACAAACATTGTTAAAATTTCTGAACTATAATACATCACTGTCACGTAGCAAGCAGAAACACTATAAATGGGACCAAGGATCATTCTACCAGAGTACTTTACAATCTCTCTCCTCCCTTCCTTAAAAAATGTGAAAAATACTCAGCATATTTAACATTCTTCTAGCTATTAATACACATTCTGAATGATGAACATATAAGTGCATTTTTTGCAGTTTTAGAGCCAAATATGTGACTGTGATTGTTGCAACAGGTTCCCAATTACTATTCAGAAATGAGGTGTCTGAAAGAACTTAAACATTTTGATTCAGATTTTTAAGTCTGCCTTATTCAAATGAAAGTGTCCTTGATGCACTGCAGTATGACGATGGGGCAGGACACAAGAAAGAGAGAGAAAAAAAAGAGGACACAGTACCTTTAAAAAACATTGTAGATTTGTGACTACAGTTTTACTAAACCACATAAAGACTCCTCCTCTGGGCTGACCAGTTCTTTTCCCAGAAGAAGCAGATGACTGAACACACAATAACAGAACAGCATCAATTAACAGCTATTTACAGTGTATGCCTTCAGAGCGTACAGAGGGTGGGATTTTTGTATGACTAATCTAATTTTTATTCTTCACTACAATATTTCCCTTGTTCCAGTGGAGATTGACTCTGTAGTACGCGGGAATAGAACAGTTTGACAAAACATTGGCATAATGTAATAAGGTATAGGCATTCATAGCTTTAATAATAATCCTTGCAATTGATATAGCACCTTTTCACGTCTTTGAGACATCTCAAAGCACTTCACAATATACTGTAAAGTGAATTGATTGTATATTTTGTGGCACACGTTTGGTAAAAGTATATAAATACTCTAATTAATGGCTTCTAAGTAAAAATTTGTGGACTGACCCTTAATCAGTTGTTGCTTTTCTATCTGCTGCATAGCATTGCAATATACCTGTACATTTCACTTTCAATATGTTGAAAGAGCAGTAAAGCATCAACTATTTCACACATCCCATGATTTAGCTTTTTTCTTGAAAGGATGCCAGATCTGGTGGAGTTAGTAAAGATATCAAACCCAAAAATGGCATTTCATCAGTTACATTTAAGATTTTGAATCTCTGAAACTGTTGCACAGGCAGAAATTAAAAATGCAATTGTTTTTTTNAAAATGTGCTCAACTCAAAGTGATGGAGAAAACTGCATACTGAATTGTGCAATAAGAATTCTTACCTCAAATAAGGCCAGATTTCTGTCGTAGTATTCATTTCCTTTTACAGTATCCGTGTTGTTTAGGAAAGGGCTGTTTTCTTTGTGGTTTTCTATAAAAAGTATACGAATTGTTACGGATATCAGACAAATAAAAAAATGGAGGGTTTGCATGTTAAATACACTCCCTGTGGCATTCAGTTACAGAACATATTAGTTAAAGTATCAGCTGTACATTATGGACTAACAAGAAGAATAACCCAACTTTGCATTCCAGAATTTGAACAAAGTGGGAAGAATTGGTATGAAGATAACTGAAAGACCATTTTCATATTCTTATTAGTCAGTTCATGAATGGCATTCGTGAATGAGCATATTTCTTCCATGGACAAGGCAGTATAATGTAAGGTAAACTAATTGAAATATTTGTGGGGAAGTATGTTTTGGAGAATTGCTGTGCTTATTGATATGAAGAATGTCAGTTCTATGGAACAGAACACTCTTCCACTTCGGTATTTGGATCAACAGTGAGTGCTCTCAGGATGGTGAGCTCAGCCAGTTACACAATAAATTTCCCTACAGTCTTCCCAACAATGTGTTTAATACCAGCTTCAGAAGTCACCACTGGGTATATTGCATCATGGTGCTATTTTACCACCAGCTTTGTGCTTTGAACCCACACCCACTTTGAACTGGCATGAGACTGCATGACTAATTTCACATAGGAAAATTAAAGGCAGGAGAATTTCATCTCATCTGGATTTCAACCCACGTTTTACAGTTGCATGCCTAACCCACTGCACTACCTGGCTGCTTTTCTATCTGACATCAACTGTTATGCAGTTTATTGAACAATGACAATGTGTTAATGAACAAACTAATGGGAGCAGTGGAAGGATGAGACCAATAGACCAAAGGGCATTCAAGCAAACCTTCTCCCCAGCATTTGATTCATAAGAGAAGTTGCTTACAGATACGTTTTGGGTTGTAATAAAACAGTTCATTTCCTTATAAATAATCTAAGATAAACTAAAGTCAAATAAATTAATCCACAAAATGTTTTATATGGCTATTGCTACAAAATCCTCTGAATTGTTAAAAAATGTTTTCGTCATATTTAGTTTAAATTATCAATATCTTGTTCATCCTTAAAAGTAACATGAATATGTCAATGTATTCCAATTGCAAATGACTAATGCAAGTTCCAGATGAAATGTTTTTTTTAAGAAATGGTGTATTGAAACAAATTATAAAGCAGTTATAAACGAAGCACAGCAGTATTGTACACTGTAAATGTAAATACTGTTAAGATAGTATAACTAGAAGGGCATGATTATTCAATAGCAACATTTTTAAAAATATTAAAATTAACTACAAGAACCTCACCTCCTGTGAAAACGAATAAGCATGAACTGGAATGTTCTTTGAACTCAGTGAGACAACATTAAACTTCACCCCAAAATAATTTTAAAAAGTACTGAAAACGTTTCATATTTCTGCTCTAACCCGTCAAGATTTGAGAAAAAAAACCTACATGAGCTGAACGTAGCCAAACTGCATGTTTTAAAACTTCATTTCACATAACACAAACTGCTATTCTTCTTGATCCAAATCCATTAACAACCTTCAATATGAACTAAGGTGTACAATTGATGTGCAAAACTAGTAATTGTAAAATGGACAATAGAAATATTATGAGCGGAATGCCAATGATTCCATTTGATCACTATGCCTATCAAACACTACAACTAGCACTCTGCTCGTTTGTATAAAAATATTGCATGCACATTTTTCAATGCAGGGTTGGACAGGATCCGCAGTACTACTGTTCAGCCAACTTAAGATCAAACAGTACTACCCAGATACAACACTATCTTGTATAATACACTAACATCACTCTCCATCTGTATTACTTACCTGCTGTAAATGCTACCTCCACATTGTCAATTAGTTGGTTTACCATTCTTCTTACCCTCTCTAAATGACTGCAGTACATATTCCTATTTAAATTGAAATTAGAGGAGAATAGAAGTGTAAGCCTTTCAATGGGTGGTGAACTGTAACGTACACACAATGGACACATGCATCATGCAGGATTGATCTAGTTTTCTCTGCTACAAAGGGTTCCTCAAGGCGATTATGGGGACAGAAGGGTCATTTCAAATTACTCATTCATATTAACATTGATTATCTCAATGCCCGATTAAATTGGTCTCTTTAGATTGACATACTTAGCATTTATTAACAAAAAATACAACTTAAATATAGTTAACGGTCATAGAAAAGTACTTCTGGTAAAATTAGTTTTACAGAATATTCAATTAAATTTAAGCCTGAATTTATACTAACAGCTGACATTTCAGTTCCTGGAGTCTGCCCCTAAAGCATTAAACACTACATTCATACTGCACATTTGGCAGTGAATTGCTGTGCTTTTGACCATGGTGGGTCGCCAAGTATGCAATGCAAGCATGCTTTTAGGCAATACAAATTGGCATCGAGAAAGATGCAATTCTTACCCAAACAGTATAAATGTCTTGGAACTTTAAATTATTTAAATTATCAATGGAATATTTTTAATAATAAGGATTGATTTTGTTATTAGCACAAAAAAAAGTACCAGTCAAATCAGAAGTTTTTTTTCCAATTGAAAGTGATGTGGATTGGACAGAATACATCTGTCGTATTGCAAACTTTTTAAAATACATCTTTCACTGTTGACATTTCAGTTTTATTAGAGCCAACTGATACAATCAATTAATGTATTTCAAGTCAAGTCCACTTCGTTTGGGTATTAGCATGCAAGAACTACACTGCAGTGCTGAGGCAAGCTGTTAAATCAGAGATGTTACTCCAAATTAAGTCTGCCCATGGTTTTGTACAAGCAACATTTTCTTTTTCGAATGAACCATATGATTTGTACAGTTTATGTCACTTTATTGTTTGACTAAAAGAAACTCACGTCCACATCCCTTTGCTTTGCATTTACTTTCCAACTAGGATTTCTGTCAGTCATCCAATTTTGAATTAAATGCCAGAAGGAGTTTGTATGGCAGGCTTTACTGCCGTTTCGATTAATACATACAGCGCTAACATTATTTCACGGTGGAATAAGCATCCACTCTCTTAACGCTGGCACCTATTTATTCATTCTACATTGCAAAGCTTAAAAGAAGACTTAAGTGTCATAACATTTTAGGATACATGCCACAACCTAGATATTGGTTGTTAATCGACTTTTCAAGTTAACAACATGAATAAAACTCCATTTTAAATTAAATCACAGCAAATTTACCATTAAATGATATATGTAAAATTACCAACAATATGTAGATCTATTTAAATCTTGTTTCACACTAAATGCATTATAACATTATAAAATGAGAAACAACTTCCAGGTCACCTAGCTCAATTTTTTTGTGATAAAATAAATTCAATAAAAGAACATCATTACTTGATTATCGTTACGATCATTAGAATACTGTTCGGATGATGTCAACAAATTCAATTCATTATTTGCAATATAAACTCAAGCACCAAATCCAAATATAGTAGGTAATTTGAGATATCTTCCCGAGTTGAAAGCCGCTATGTAAATGTAAGTTTGTATTGTATTATCATTAGAAAATAAAAGTGTTGAAAATCAGGATAAAGTTGTTTCTTATCAGGGATTTTAAAAAAACAACGTACAAGGACTTCCTGAATACTGGTACTTTGTGGCTAATTTCTTTCCCTCCTGAGCAAAAGGATGCTGGGACAAATTGCTGCAGACAGATGTCAGACAGGCCTGGCCAACTATCAACAGTGCCAAGGACTGCTACAGAGCTACCTGGCTTATCTTTTATTTTATCATCCCCAAAGAGGTGAAGTGCTGAGTGAATCCAATTGGATGTAAAAAAAAACTTTTCTAGTCCCAAATTTGCAGATAGTCAGATAACTGAGCTGCCCGGGATGTCCTTAGTTAACATGCTGAAATGTATCTTGTCAGCAGAAATCTACCTGATCTCCGAGTAAACTTGGGAATCCAGGTGGATTGCAATGACAGATTCCCAAGAAGCCATATTATAAGGAAATTATGACATGCACAGTAAATGAAGCAGAGAGCTTGCATTTATATAACTCCCTTCAGGTAAAACACATCAAATGGAATCTCTAAAGAAAATCTCAGTAAGCAATGGATTTCCCAGTTTAGCTACTTCCTTAGATGACTGCTGCTTGTCAGCTTATGATTATACAGCCTCTCGCAGTCAAATGTTACACCTCAGCAGCTCTCGGTATCAGATGCTGCTCATGTGAGTTTGGAATTTACTCAAAAGTAATGCCTGTTGCACTTCCTTTTAAATGTTTATTGCCACAACTGTCCATTTAGACATTATTTGTTGATTCAAGAGCTTTAAAATCTGTTAAATTAATTGAAATTTAACTGGAGTTACTGATAAAGAGGAGTCATTAAATTTAGCATTGGAATTTTAAACATTACTTTATTTTTCTCCCTTTGGAAAACATGTTTGAGAGCTGAAGAAAAGTGCCTTGTATGAATCATTCACAGGGAACAGTAGGTATGTTGAAAATGATTAACACCAATTAGTGTGTCTTCAGTAATTGCACCATACCAAATCGCAAAGGCTTCATAAGAAAGAACAACATCATTATTACTTATAGAGCTTCTATAAAATTGATCAATTGTAATGTAATGATTTACACAAATGTTGTATCATATTCGTTAACAGTTGAACACTACTTTTTCTTCATTCAGCAATTCACTCATTATTCCTGATTTCTAATCATTAAAGTTACTTAATTGTACTTTCCTATTGCTTTCTTACTTCCGACAATAATTTAGTCATTTAAAGAACTGCAAGTGTATGAAATGAGTTACCCAGCAAACCAATGGGGACAAACATATTTTAGTACATCTGCACAAACGGCTTCTCCTCCCACTTTCACCCGGTTACCTGCGGGGTACCCCAAGGATCCATCCTTGGCCCCCCCTCTTTCTGATCTACACGGTTCCTCTTGGGGATGTCATCCGCAGACATGGGGTAGATTTCCACATGTATGCGGACGACACCCAACTCTATTTTTCCACCTCTCTTTGCAACCCCCAGTCCCC